CTACGGTGGACCTCATCCTGTCCCTCGAAGATTTTCAGAAACAATTTCTAATAACAAACGCGAAAAAACAGAACACAGATTGGCGACTGGAGAATCCTTTATTCCTACGCCAATATATATCCAACAATGAGGTTATTATACACAAGGTTTCTGATAGTTTTCTTCCACCGAACAGCGAACGATGAGACGATGACTGGTGTATTGATGACTCCCGCGAAAAATATGGGGAAGTCGGGTTTGAGCGAACAACCACGAATTGATCGTTCAATCTTCAACTACACTGACACTCCCGGCAAAAATCGGATTCATCCCTTTTTTCCATCACAACCAATACACGTTGACTTGGATGCCATTGCGAGAACCTGGGCCACACGGACAAAGCTGAAATGGAAAACAAACAGCAAAGCCAACACACCACAGGCATATCCACAGCACAATCTCACACATCGACGACGACCTACGCCTTCCAGCTAAAGGCATCCTCTTGACATCTTGCAACACAATCGCACTTGCTAGAATGACTCTTGCAGAAAACAACGTGACCATGGCAGTACCTCACGATATTCTACGCTCATCCTCTTATCTATTCACTACCAATTACCACTGTAATCGCTTCTCACTCATTCCGCCTCAGTTCCAGTAACGGTGACGTATGCAAGCCTCAGTCGTCTACACTCTCGCTCCTCCGCGTGTGGGACCACATTCTAAATAGAAACATTCATTCTCATTCATTGATTCCGCAGCTAATCCTTATCTCCGTGTTCATGTCATTCTCAGCACTAGCATAGCCTCCCCGGCGTATACGACCCATCTGCTGTCCTTAAAATCAATCACGGATATGGAAGACTCGAAACAACTTCAGGAGTAAGCACGACGAAAATTTTAACAAAATTATGCAATAACAACAAGATACGAAAACAACGAGTAAACACAATGAATCCAAAAACACCAATTGATATGACACACCACACGTATATAGAAACAGTACACATAACCTCGCCGATCATGTCTTGATGGAATTCTTTTGAGGAATTGCAGGACTTACACCAGTGCGCCTGCGACCCTTCTCCGAATGACGATTGTAGGTTGACGAATGTCCGGACACAAACAAGATTAACCAACAATTACATTAACTGGAACCCACTCAATTACTTAACACAAACATGTTGACAGTCAATACATCAAATGTTGTGGATTCTGCCTTGACGAGCAACTCTTGAAGAAATGTAGGACTTACAGCAGTACGCCTACATTCCTTCACAGGTTGATGATACAAGTGGAAGACGTCCGGACACAAACAAAATTACTAACAGATAGGTGAGAGATTATACCAATTCAGTATATACAACATGAACATACGTATAAAAAACATACCAAGTACGATGGACTGAGCTTCGACGTACTACTCTTGAAGAATTGTAGGACTTAGAGCAGTACGCCTATATTCCGAGGATCAGTCGTTACGCCATTCGACCAGGATACATGAACCATCTTAGAAATAAGGCCCACCTATACCATTTCCCACAGTCAGCTGAAGCTATACAGCATGATTAATGGACATTATCCTATATACCCATGATAGGAATAGAATATAGCCTAAAACTTTCTTGGCACAGGGCACTAAGAGGAAATCATCGCTGACCCTTACCAGCAGTACTCCATCCGTCGGAGGCTTGAATCCAGTATTCATCCACCTGGACTGCCTAACTGCAGTAGAGGACCTGAATGAGGAAAGCCTTATCAGCAGCCTTGTATTTCATCACCATCAAGAAGAGTAGCCACAATATCTTTTTTAGTTCTTCTCTCAACATATGTGAAAACACTTCGGGTAAAGCCATATGAATGGACAGTGGCAAATCAAGACATTGTACCGAGCTTTGGTTTCATTTTATCCCAGATGGATTTGTTGTAGCCTATTGAGATAAGTGATTCTGTCACCTATCACTCATCTGGAAGAGTGCTATAACACGTATTCTTATCTCCAAGGGAATAATCGCCGGTTTCCTGGAGGACTTGCATTCGACAGATCTACATTACCTGACCCCAAGTGTATTTCTTAATTCATTGTCTGTATCACTGAAGGACAAGTCACAATTTACTGTCTAGCCGTTGGTGGAGAGCAAAGCCTTATAGACATCTAAGAGACGAGGGAATGATGACGTTTCCGCGAACCACCATGTGTACCGATTCAAGTTCCTACACCCACAATTACCACTGTGTTTATTCCACGTAGACGAAAAGCAAATCAAAACGACAGATTCACCATCCAAGATATGAATCAAATTCGTGGTGTAATGTTACTTTTTGGAATTTCAATCCTATCCCTTCCTATTGTGTGGTTGTTTGTTAATGCATGAAGTGCAATTGCTGAGCTTTTTTCTAAATTACTTATCTTCTCATGGTCAACCATTCTTACCTCAGATAGGTCCTTATGTCCCGGTAATCTTACTAACCACGACCTACTAGTTTCACCTATGTAGTTGACGTAACTCAGAGTCATTGTAGGGTATCTTGTAGATTATATTGTCTAATTGGGTCAACAGGGTTCTTTAACCTACACAGCTTGTCTCTGAGTGAGTTTGTAAGTTTGAATACCACCATAATTCCTGCTTTATTAAAAATCCTACGTAGAGTCTCAGAAGTCCCCTCCTCATATGGTATAACAGTGGATGACTTACTTATCTTATCATTACTAGTTTCACAATTATTTTTATTTTGCTTTTGGACTTTTCTAATCTTCCTAATGAAACACCAACGCCTCTTCTATCTGTTTCATTTCATCATTTAGGTCTTTTCTTGTGCTGTTTAGTGCTACTACTCGGTTTGTTAGACACTTAACTAAGCCTATATATTGAAACACCTTAAATACCCACGGATGAAGGTACCATCAAAAATTATCGTCGTCCTTAACACTTGAATGACATACATATCATACTGGTTTATTTACGCACTGAAGATATTTACGTAACACACCAAGATATATGAGAAATTTTTTCACGAGAACCACTACTCCCTTGCACTGATGCATGTTAAACCTAATTCTTCTACCTACAGAACTACTAGTGTAAAAAAGAAAAGACCGACGAGGCTCGAAGGAATGTTTATTGGGACAAACGCATTGTAGGTGCATAAATTTAATTTGGTATACCATCTCTTCAATGCTTTAATTGCACATCATTTGCAAATTGGTCGAATATCACCACATTCGATAGCTTGTTGGATTCTACACAGTGTTTCTAACGTCATTCCTACAGTTTTCTTCTTCGATTGCGTTTTCCAGTGTCCGAAACGTATTGTTACTTTTCTGAATTCGTTTATTGATATATTACTTTTTATATCTGATTATAAGTAGCACTTACCACACTAGGACAAAATGATTTCATTCATCCGAATGTCAGATAAATCTTGACAATTTTCATGAATGATCTCAACATCTACAAATCAGTCTGTCTCAAACCCTTCTGACTAATCAAATGCATAGCTTTCAGTTCAGCAGCAGATCAATCATCAGGCCGAATTTCTCAGCGGTGGGTAACGTATGTGACTGCAAACACTGGCTGACACAGGTTCGGATCTTCAAAGGGACACCAGTTCCTAGGAGGTTGCAGATACACTTCACTGACAAGCAGGTATAAAGCACCACCAAAACCTCAGGAATACTGCTTCAACAGTTTGACGAGGAAAGTCACTCTCTCCAGAGAATCGAGTAGAACACAAACCCTCTAGTACAAAAGTAGACACACCACCATCAACTACAGAACACGCATTATTGTTTCAAAACGATACAAACTTCACAGTTAACTAGTAATCATATGAGACAAAAGACTTCGTAATTGGCTCACGACATTCCTAAACATTAACCTTGGGTGGGTGAGGTTCGTGACCACATCACAGATTGAAAAAAATCTCCGTCGATGACACACTGGTTAACGAAGACGCCACTCTTGTTGTTTGTCTTTCGAGCTTCAGCTTCGAAGTTTCAGTAGCAAAATGGTTTTATCTTCACTCGGTGGGATTGCTGCTAGTCGCCTCTCCACACTCAAACTTCCCTCTCTTTACTGGAATTAATACTGGCTTCACGAGATGAAGATAACTTCCCACACCACATACCTGGTGGTGATGATGATGGTGGTTGGCGAGCGCATTCTACCATTAAGGCAACCACCACCGAGCGCTACGTTGCGAACAGACAAAAGTTATGAATTCATGAGTCTATCACATTCACAACTACTGGTTGCAGAATGATCAACAACCTGACCTCAGAATTATCTTCAAGATCGTGGAGCTCATCGTTGGTCAGGTCATCATCATATTATTTATTACTAGTGAAAAGTCCCAAAAGCCAGTCATCTATGCTTTGTTTTGTAGGCCTTCTAGCGATTCTTTCTAAATGTTGTTAGACTGTGAAGAAATCATCCATGTTGAAATTAACCTGTAATCTGAATAAATGAAAGAACGTGCATGTATCAATGGATCAGAGACTTCTCAACCAACACCGGTTTTCCACTATTCACTATTTCTTATCACTTTGTCTCTCTCTCTCTCTCTTTTAGAAGAGACGAAGTTGAAGCCAAGACTAACAAAAACAACAACAATAACGCTTTATTCAAATTTTATAATTGAAATCTAACCGATGAGTATTAGTAATAATAATAATAATAATGAATAAATCTGAATTTCGGGTTCCTGTATCTATGTGTGTATGTACAATTATAATCGTTAAAAAACTATGTATATATAACAAATGCATCGTGGAAATAAACGCATACATTTATGTCTGTGTGTCTGTACAAACTGTATATATACATATATATGTAATGTATACATAACAACTGTGCATAAGACAGTAATAGACATACAATGGAGAAAGACGTATGAGTCAATGTGTCAATCAACCAACCAATCAATCACTCAGTTTGCCTGCCCGCCTCTGCCTGACTATCCGCCTGTCCATGATGTGAAATTTTATGTCTTAATAAACTACGTCGTGACTTATAAACCTTATTACAAAGTTTACAAAGGAATATCTTTCCGAGAACAACACCCACACGATTACCGCCGCCGCTGCTGCTGTTCTTCTTGGCATTCTCTTCACGATCACATTCACCTGATCTAGACGTCAACGACGATGATGATGACGTCGTCGTCGTCCGTGGTGCTGTTGAAGCGGATCCAGAAGTAGTTGGGTTATTATTATTATTATTCAACAACGACAACAAATTAGGGTTATTGTTTTTAGGTCCAGCTGGAGGAGTAGAAGATGGGACTGTGTTGAAAAGTTAACAAACAAACAAAAATTAATCAATTAAATACAGAAGTGTTCCGACTGCAGCAACATACTCCTCCTCCTCCACCATTCATGCTTCTCTCAAGATCCACCATCACCGACTGATATCACTTACAGAAAGAACCATCGGAAACAAATCAGGAGTACTGGTACTGAACACAGCTGTTTCGTCAGCCTAGTTCAGTCTGGGACTACTCACCAGCAGTATGCACCCCACTGCACTGCTAGGGTTAGGGCCAAGGACCTTTCGGTTACAAGGCAAACTCGTAGATCCAACACACTCAATGGCCAACCACCCATGAATACTGACTGATTTCTACCAATTCGTGATTTTAGCGCGACTGACTGACTGACTAGGCGCACCAGCTAGCTAATGTCAACGCTGGTCAGTATTTGTCCTCACACTTCCGACAACCGGGTAGGCCTCATTGGTCACATGACTTCTCTCATTTGAATTCCACCAGGCAACTGACTAACTAGAGAGCATCAGATTCATTTTCAAGAACTAATTCGGTTTTCATTTACTTATTTCCTTGTGGCTTAGTTAATTAACTCAGTCAAAGTGTGTTGTTGTTGCTTTTCTCTTTCAAACAATTAGTGTTTGGCTTCATGAGCGCAACCCCCCCCCTCCACACCTCACACATTCAACAGTTTAGTTAAGTACAAAACCAACTGATGAATCCACAAAAATAGGATGGTATAATTGGTGTAGTGTTGAGTTGATGACTTCTCTCAAATTGGATTGATTTAATTGCACAGCTTTCATTGTCTTTCTAGGCAAGATCTTCATCAGTCCAGGTAAACTAGTCAATTCTATATTGCTATCGTATTGCAGCAAATAAAGTAGATGGATGGCTCATTGACCACGCCACTCTCAGCACTGTGCTGCTTGCAGTCAGTCAGGTGGGAGGATCACAAGGTTCAAATCCCCGTCGACCTACTGCAGAGCTAGGACACCACTGGGTAGTAGTAGTAATAATAATATTATCAGCCTTCTCTCACATCAAGCTCATATAACCTGGTGTACATTGAAGACTTAGTCAGCGTAACTGAATTTAAACAAAACAGGAATCAAATCAGTGTAGATGTACAAGTGTGATGTGGTCTAGACATGTACAACAACATCTCTCAATATACTCAAGTGTTGATTTGCAGGTATTTGGTTGATTGGCTACAGGATTTCATCATGTGCTAACATTAGTTAGAGAACCATTGGAAAACCAGCTGGGAGTACTGCCAGAGAGCTGTTTCGTCCTAGTTTGAGACTCTACATCAGCACGCACCCGCCGCCAGGATCTCTTGGTTACAAGGCTAGAGAGCTCGTAGACCATTAAGCCACTGGGACCCAATCCAATGGCCAGTCAATGAATTCTAACTCCTGCCAATTTACAACATAGCGCGACCTGCTGCACCCTACTGGTCACGATTTCTCACTAGAACCCCAGGTAACTACCTACCTAAATAGGTCAAGTCCCTAGTGAGCATCTCATTGATATTCAAGTGTTGGTTTGTGCTGTGGTCCCAGTGGCTTAATGGTATACGAGCTCGCTAGCCTTGTAACCAGAAGGTCCTGGCTTCGAGTCCCGGTGGACGCGTACTTCTAGGACGAAACAACTGTCCACTACTCCCAGCTGGTTTTCCAATGCTTCTCTAACTAATGTCAGCCCACGATGAAATCCTGTAACTAAACTCTCAATATAGTTGTCGAAAGGAGGAATTAGGCAGACTCATTGATGACTCAGTTCTTCAGCACCTTTTATTCATTACATTCAGGCTTCACTTATTCGCGAAGTTACACATCACCTTCAATGGGTTGACCTCAACACAGATACAAAAGGCTTGAGTGTGTGTGTGTGTGAGGTGGAGGTATTCACTGAATTGAAAGACATCTATCGCATAGAGGTGATATATCCGGTCGACTATCGATCAAAGGATGTGTATACTCTGCGCGTACCACACTTCACTCCATCCCTCCTTTATTGTAGTGAAACATGATCATTGACTGGAGACTATTGCTGACACCTGACTTAATATTGTTCTCAGTAGCACGATGAATTCCATTCACTCTATCTGGTCTCTCATATCTATAAAAACCCTTTTGTTGTTGTTGTTGTTGTTCCATGTTACTATTCCTTCTCCCCCAAATTTTCCACTTATTATGCTACACTTCTAAATCCTTCTTTTTCTTTTCACTCTCCTTTGTGTGCTAAATGGACGAGTGTGCGACTATTTTGACTCCTACCTACAACACTTTTCAGTGAAAATTTGTACACGTTAAAACGTTGTCATCAATGAGTCTATATATCATCAATAAAAGCATCTTTCAAAGTGATACATCAGCTAAAGAGACTACTAAGTCGGTGTCAAAGAGGATACACCATCATCAACTACATCGTCTGTCGTCCACAGTAGAAGTGCATGTTAGTTATCACATAACGTGTTGTTAACCGTCAATTGGGCGAAGAAAGGAAGGAAGCAAGGAAGAGAGTTCAAGCAGCTATCTCAAAGCTTGTCACACAGTCGTCGTCAACAGAGTGTTTCAGCTTACAAAATACACATTAATGAAAGAAACACAAAAACAAGAAAAAGAAAAATTCTCACTTCCTTACCATCATTTGTTTCAATCATACGATTCCAATCCAGTTCTGACGTTCCAAGTCCATGCGCAACGGTCATATGACGCAGACATGAAAACTGAAGAGTATATGTTTTATTTCGACACAGGTAGCATCTAGTTGAATGGATTTGAATGAAAAGGAAACGCACACAAAGACGGAAAGTTAGGGCGCGTACAGAATATAACTATATATTTATATATATACACATATAACTAAACACATAAAATGGAACAGCAAGAGGTTGGGCGTATACCGAAACAGACTTCGTGGTTAATTAAAGACGGTTCATCACACAGAAACCCCTCGAATCACTTCTGAAACTTTCCACTTACGATGACTACACAGCGCTTACTTTACAATAATAAACCAAAAACAAAAACATGATGTCATAGACTACTGATTGACTGGTATGAGTAGTTGGACACCAAATCGACAAACAGTGCTTGCTAGCCAGCCAGCCAGATCGAAACAACACAGACGTCGTCTCGCCGGTTTTCGGGCAGCAGCGCTCGATTCACTTCAGGGAGGCATCCACCCCCACATCAGTTCAAATCAAACAAATTCTGGTTGGCTACTTTCTTCCCCAAACTAGCAGTGGTAATACACGCTGGATCGAATTCCCAATTTGCAGAATAATCCGTAACTTCCTATTCGGAAAATAGAATAAATTTGGCCGTATAGTTCACAATACGCTGAGTTCAATAGAATAGGAACACCGATGCTGGGACACAGAAGCGCTGACCGCTTGATTAACGCCAACAACCATTATAGTGTGTTGAGAGCTGGCTGCTAGCCAAAGTTGGCGGACAGTAATTTACGTCAATGTTTATGTCCCCAGTAATGGTTGTGAGAAAAATGAGAACAAAGACTTTACCTAGGCAGATACAGTTAACATATAGATGATCTGACATTCAAGAAACAGCCACAAACAGATGCAAGGTTAACTTTCTGTGAGAAACAATCACCAATCAGAAGACTGTGTTTTTCTGATAACAATAATCTATAATATGTACATGAAAATCTATAAATATGTGTAGATTTCCTTAATAAACGATCTGTTGCCTGGCTGGCCCTTGTCTTCTGTTGTCACAATAGTACAGCTGGCTACCTATTTCCCCTACCCCGCTGTATTTAAGCCAAAACATGCAACCCTGCACATCACATGAGAAGCATATTTAGCAGTATCCGGATGAGAAGCCTAAGCGTAAATATGCTGACAGAAACAATCATGTGTTTGATCAATGGATAAATATCCACCTGGCCAAGAACGCCAGGTGTAACAGGAAATATCCAGACTGACACCTTCTTTGTACAATCTCATCATACACAAATGTGACATGTCTCACTCTATACATCATCATTTGGTCCACTCAACATTGTCTCTTACCTGATGATATCAGCATCGAAAGGATGATGATAGAAGCAAAGCCTACACAACCACACGAACAGAATGTGGAGGTGGCAAAGAAGGAGAGAGACAGACAGACAGGAAGATGTAATGAGAACTTTCAGACACACAACCGGAACTTAGTATACACTTACATTATTGAGCAGTGTTAGTCGGTCAGTGAGTTGGTTAGTCACAGTTAGTTGCTCGCAAAAAAGTGCTTACATCTCATCCTGTGGCATAATCACCACCACCAACACCATCACTCAATCAATAATCAACTACTGTTCCTCCAGAATTCATTGTCAACCTCAATTACAATAAACAGACAGTAATGTGAATTGCCTCAAAAATATATAAATACATAAATACACATACATTTGTGATGACAATGATTATCAAACATCATACTGTGTGTGTGTGTGTGATAACAAAATAGCTTGTGTAATAATAATAACATAGAATAAATAGCCCCCCACAGAATAATGAATGCATGACTAGTAGAAAGGTGTGTAGAATTATTCAGATTAGTAGTAGTAGTAGGGGCAAATAAAGCATTGTGTAGCAACAAAAGCCAAGGTGTGGTGACAACAGTTCTGATGAGACGAAAACAACAACAACAAGAACAACATTTCAAAGACCAATTGACATTTATTGGATCAAATAAGTAAGACAAGACAAAAGAGAAAAGGCGACAAGTGACATCGTATGTCGGGAAATTCGCAGTTTGCAATTTTTACACACACACACATTTCAAGTGGAGACCAAGTTATTCCGATCAATATATGTGTGGTGTCTGTCTGATACTATGCATGAATGGTAATCACAGGGGAAGGCGAGAAAACTAGCACACTACTGATTGATTGATTGAGATGAGTAGCTGTATACCATTGAGTCAAACGGGGCAGGGTAGGGTAGGTACACCGCCGCTGACGAGTGCGATCTAAAATGAACGAGACAGCTGTCCAATGTTTAGGTCATATCGATCCGGCTGGGCTGGCTAGTGAGTATTGCTCGGTTCACATGAGTAGTAATGCAACTACCTACTACTACTACTACTACTACTACTGTTACTACTCGTCTCAATCACCAATCAGTAGTTTATAGTTTTATATCGGAGAAATGGCTCAAAGTGTTCTGAGTAATAAAATACCTATCGAAAAATAATAAGAGGTGGAGTGTAAACAACAAATCGATAAAATAGGCAAAGTTAAAATATCACAGCCAAAACTCCAGTGACTTTTAACACCCAATCGATCATCAGAATTCAGATACAAAAACGGTTGCATCGTCGTTGAAAAAAGGCACTAAAAGAAAAAACCCACTGCAAACGTGACATTACACCATACAGTTGTCGTTTATGTGTTGTAAGAATGTCTTTCAGTCGCTGCACAGATGATCTGTGATCTGATCTGATCATACCATACTCGATAGATGCATTCACTCAGGTGAATGAATGTAAGGCGGCCATGATACCTTGAGATCCATTGATCCATTGTGACACTGTTCTTTAACCTACCAACACCTCCTAACCCTCACAATAATCCTAACTCCTTATCCGAACTTTGATCCTAATTCTAACCTCAACTCTACACCATAAACCTCGCTTGCTTTAAAAAGCCATAACCCTAACTAACAGTAGAGATCTGCAGAGAAAGTACCTAGAGAATAAGTAGAATGCTGTGTCTACCCTCTCCAAGTCCAAAAAGCCAAGCATGATTCAATTTGGAATAACCTTTCACAGCAATCACTGCATCTACTCATTGACTGTTGAAGGTGGTCAACTTTTGAAAGACTTTCACTTTTCGGGCTATGCTACTTTAACTTCGCCGATAATTAAGTAGATAAACGCCAATAAGTGTCAACATGCACCTACATATTCTCCTATTTCGCTAGCCAGGCGGACACTTGGTAAAGCCAGCCAGCCAATGTACTCACTCAACTAACTCCACACCAGGAGCAAATCAACTGGTGTATTATGTATTCTATGCTCATATGTTAATGTGATCACATCAAACTTTTTCAAAAGAGGGATGAGATCAAGACGTTTACACGTAGTAGCAGTAGCAGTAGCTGAAACACTAGCGATCCAAATGAATAAATAAATAAATAAGGCCGAGGTAGAAATAGGGAATGAATATAAACACGCACACACACTTTATCTTATCCCAACTTTTTTCACCTGATTATTCGCCTGTTATCAATCCCATGAATAGATAGTTTTACACTCCTTTTCTAAGATGTATACACGCACACACAGACATTCCATGAATTATTTTTATTAAAATCTCACCAAATCATTACAATGATAATAGCAGTAATCAGAACAGCACACAGAATAGTGTTCAAACTGATCTTACCACTTACCACTAGATATTGAAGTAGGAAGACAAAAATCAAAATGGAAAAGCCAGAAAGACTTGACAGTCACGCATATATACGTACATGTAATATCAATTCAGTGAGATTTAATTTATTTGAGAACGGTATCATAGACAGAAGGTGCACACACATACCCATAAAGTAACATCTAGGAGTCCCACAATTGAAAACTAACAGAAAGAGGGAGGTGGTGGCAGAACGGAAAAACGTCTATACTAGTCATGAAGTTCCGAATTATGTACGCGAGTGAGATGTGACAGCCTGATTGCATGGTTTTGATTCGTTTATTTGTGGCTTAATTTTCTGAGGTTTTGTGAAAATATAATATGCCATGCATTTTATCGAATACAGGCAGTTGATATCGTTTTAGACGTCGTCTTACTCAGTCCGACTTTCATGTCTCCCTGAGTGCTAGAGATAATTTCAAGACATCAATTGGTTGCATGGTGTTGTGGTGTTTCAGAGGTGTATTCTAGTCAAGTCAGACGAACTTAAAAATCGTCAGTAACGCTCGGCATCATAGCATATGGGTTATTGATATCTCCTACCACGGGAATGAATCATTCACACTCATAATTACAAATAATGAATTGAATACGGGAAAAACCTTTTCAAGGTAAATCACGAAGTAACACTGAAAACCAAGGAGTACTACTGGATAGTTTGTTTTGTCCTACGTTGAGGACTCTTCGACAAAAAGCACTTATAACCACATAGGGGAGTGAACTTTTGAGCCTTCTACCCACTGGATGCGTGTCGTTGAAGAATTGCAAACTGGGACGAAACAGCTATCCAGTCAATCAGGTTTGAAACAGAGATTGAAAGTCAAGTGCTTCAGTGAGAATAACCCATATCTAGCACAAATACAGCTGATCCACTGGAAGGAAGAGTGATGATGTCAACAATAGATGACTACCACGACGTTATTTGAATACTAAACTGGAGATAATCACCATCATTACGTTCCAATCCTAATTCATAAATCATTTCAAGCGAAGAAAATTAGGTAGTCCGCCTCAATCTCCAGAAACCACATCTGAGTGACTCAATCAAAATCAACTGCAATCGCACACACACACACACACTCACATTACTCATCAATGAATGGCTGTCATACATCTTAGTAAAACCTTTAAAGATAACTTCATCGATAATGGAAATTTTATTTGATTCTTGCTTCATGACTCAATGAGTACTTTCTGTCACTTAGAAGGACACATGATAATGAGACAATCTTGGATAGTGATTTAGTCGCCAGAATACTACTAGTAAAGCCCCAATGGGGAGCGGCCACTTTGCATCCTCAGCTGCCATTCACATGTGGAGTGTAGTTTAACAACAACAACAACGACATGTCGGATACCATCTGACACTTCTTAACTGTTGTTGTCCATTGAAAATTATTTCTTTCATTTCTTGCCTAACGAGAGCGACACAGAGCTTCAAGCTTCAGACTCAGGATTTTCCACAGTGGTGGGGGGAGGCTGTTAACGTCGCGGCCAACCTCCCACCTTTACCAGACCTAATACCACCGACTAGTAAACACTAGGAGGCGAGTTACGTCTAGAACTCCATCGACTGGAGATCAACTACCTACGGGTGGCTGGCTGGCAAGCATAGCGTAGCACACTACCAATGACGAAGGACCGATTCAAATTTAGACGAGATGGAAATCCCTTTTTCTCAACACACATAACCCACAATGATACATAATATCGTCAAAAGAAAACAAACATAATAACTAAATCACTCACTTATAAATTACCACAGGTACAGACGAATTCGATACAGCTCCACTTGGTATTATTGGTCTATCAGACACCGACCTGAAATAAGTAAAATTCCAAATTTAGATGTCGTATTCACGAATGGACATTGTTTAGAGAAGAAGTGAAAGGCATGCAGAGAGAGCTGACCCGTCCCTAGTAAGCGTGTCTTCATAGAGTGCACAACCATAACCCCTCCATTGTGGATCGAAACCAGGGCCCTTCGACTGACAAGGCCTGGTCATTAATAACTCAATCAATAGGTTCGAATTTAATCAGCTGTGAATTCTATTCTCCGTCAAATTTGCGATGATAAAGTGTTAATGCAATCACCAGTGCCACACAGATGAGCATACACATCACGCCCACGACATGGTGAAACCTCACCGGCGACGACATCCGTTAGACCACCTTAATGACACCTACTCGTTAAGCACTAACAACAAGGGACAGCAGATTCATCATATTCACATTTCGATTAATCTCGAATGAACAGGGATTTCTTGATACTACTTGTAGACTTATTCAAGTGGTGGTGAAATATATAACCACTGAGCAATTTAGTCAAATAAAAGTTAATGAGATGGGAAAAACGCACAACTGCAAAGACTAAACACTCATTGTCATGACAATGTCGTCATAATGCCAGCTCCTACAGTAACACTACTCTCACACTTCTGCTTGTAATTCAGCAGTCAGATATTCTTTCTGCTGTGTTATTCTACATGAAAGTTGACAACTAACAAATGGATCATTTCGTATTCGCGGAGAACACTTTTGAAATGCAACAGAATTGTTATGCTATGATTCCTTCAAAAATAATGTGAAAGTTCTATCCAGAGACAGAGCGTTCCCCTTCAGTAAAATTAATCAACGGGGAATTCAAACGGTGACTGTGAGGATGGACAAGCTTCCCTTGTAGGCCATCATGATCCATGCATGATAACCCTATTCAACAGTCTCTGATTCGTTTACTTATGGTGGCTTAATTTTGTCATGGATTTCGATGTCATACAACTAATCATACTTGTCTACTTTATTATTCATGGCTGAGGGTTTGTAAATACAATATGGCCTGTACTTGGTCTAATAAAGTATTCATACTAGTCGTCGTTTTTCCCAGACTGGCTTTTCTTTCTATTTCAGTATACCAGATATTTTCAACTATCGTCTTCTCTTCTGGTCAAATTGAACGAACTGATTTTGCCATAAAAGTGGTCCTCTTGGCTCTGTAATCTTCGTGAATACCACCACCACTTATTGAGGTGCATACATATGTGTGCACAGCTGACAAGACGAAAATAGGACAAACTCATATTCATATCCCGGATTTCTGCAGAACAGTGTAAGGCTAGAGTGGAGCTTGAATGTTGAAGATACTGAACTACATGTTATCAACTAGTCAGACTGCAAGTAGTAGTACTTTGGAACTAAAGTAATTATAATTTATTATATTGATTTACATCATTTCATGCACAGATGATTAGCTGTTTTCGAACTGAAAAAGTCTCCTTATTATTTCAAAGGTGAAGTTTACATTTTATTGATAAGAGAAAATCTTCTGATACTGTTGTGACAGAGTGTTACTAGCCGTACACTAGCGGAGGAACAGTAAAGAATAGACGACACCAAAGTCAAATAATCTTCAATCGACCAATCGGATCGCTCAACATTACAAATGGATGCGGTTCATAGTTACTCTTTGTTGCAAGTTTCACCAAGATTTGCTTTTCGAGTTTTTTGTGGAAAATGCACACGCATATGTGGTTGAGGGATAATGACTCTTCACAAGTACTCCCTGGCGGCTATTACTGATGGCGGTTATACACTCAATGTTATATGAGGAAGTCTGTAGGAGTTGGTAAGTTGTACATTATGCTGATGTTTTTAGATACTTTCTTCTCCAAATCGAAACCCTGCCTTAGCCTTAGTAAAATATCAAGTGTATGACAAAATTGTCTACTGACATGACCAGAATCTGCTGCAGCTGTGGAAACTGAGAATACTAAAATGTCAACAGGGCAGTGGTATCAGCAACACAGTCGGAATATCGCCACACAAAAGATCAATGCGACTACTTCTGTACTTGGAGCAATAGGTGTCGTCGTTCATATTGACCAAGCAATCTTTATTACACGAAAAATTGAGTCGCCGCCGTAGGAGAAGAGGAAACCACGTGTTGGGTCCTAGAACTGACCGTACGATACAAATCATAGAAAAGGATTGGTAGAATGCATCCCAAACAGAAGTACTGATGTCTTAATACCAATTATACAACGACTAGTCCTCCCAGGAACTAATATTCACACACACACACACAAGTGGAGAGACCTTATTCGCAACTACCACATACCTCACTAGGCTAAATTCACCATTAAGGCAATAATTATTCTGAATAAGTAGAACTCATACAAGTTCTATTGAAGGAAAAGCATATCAGAATGGTAAATGATTCCAGAAATGATATTGTATACAACTTTGAGATAATTTCTTCCTTTTATACAGGATAAGGAAAACAGAATACTGATTAGTGGTCGCGCTATATCATGAATTGGAAGAGGTTGGAATTCATGAACTGGCTAAGTGGCTTAATGGTCTACGAGCTTACTAGCCTTATAAGTGGAAGGTACTGGGTTCGATCTTCAGTGGGGTGGGTGCCTACTGCTGAAGTGTCACACACTAGGACCGAACAGCCGTTTGGAGCAGTACTCCCCCAGCTGGTTTTCCAATGCTTCTCTAACTGATGCCAGCTCATGACGAAATCCTGTAAACAATCAAATCAAATCCTTGCAAAACAACACATGAAATTACACTAAAACCTACATTTCAGTAACATTTGTATCATCCCAACTACGTGATATGCCTCCACTGACCTGCTGCTCTTGCGCCCCCCAGTCAATACAAGGAGTAGTAGTAGCAGAATTATTAGTTGAACTATATTCGTCATTATCATCACCTCCAGCACTAACACCACCAACACCTTCAATACTGCGATGACAACTACCTTGTACGCTGTTGTCGTTGCTGCAATCACCTTTGTTTAATGATAGGGATAACCGTTTATGAGATGTACTTCCACAAGATTCTGAAGTTGTTGTTGCTTTCCTCTTTAAAGATTTATTATCAAATATTTTATGTACATATTCAATAGCACTACTACATGAAGGAAGAGGAGCGGAAGCAGCAACAACAACAGAAGTATTCGTAGTAGTAGTAGTAATAGCGGTAGCAGGAGCAGCGGTAGATAACAATGACGACGAGTTGGAAGTCATAGGAATGGTAGTGGTGCTGACGCTGGTCGAAGAGATGGCGTCAGTTGAAATATTAGATGATAAATATGTTTCATTGATATCTTGTATCTGAGTTGAAGAGGAACCCACATCTGAACACTTCTTATCAGCATTATTATCATTATTGGTCATCTTCTCATGTTCAGGTGAACTCACAATAGTAAGCGCAAAATCATTGAAATTTTCACCGGGATCATGACAATCAGAACCTATTTTTGTTTGACAACAATAACAGAAAAGAAGCAGAACAAAAAGAAGAACAAGAAAATACACTTAACAGTAGTGTATTACAATTTAAGTCAAATAACCCAGAACAAATAATCGTAATTTTCTCATACAAAACAACGATATTAGGTAGTTTACAAATTGATTCCTTTACGTTACGAATGGAGTATTGGGGGCGGGTGGGGGGCACTTCAAGGTTCAGCTTTGAAGTTTCGTTAGCAGTGGTGTTTGTTTTTTTCTCTACAGGGTGGCTTTGTTCGCCTGACAGACACTAGCGACTGGCCAGATTCAGGAAGGTAGTTACCAAGGTTCATGTGAGAAGTCAAGATCAGTGGGGTTCCACAAAGTCGAGTATGACGACAGACACTCGCCGGTGACATTGGCTAGTGCCAACCGTGCTATACCGCGAATTGGAAGAGGTTGGAATTAATAAACTGGCCATTGGGTCAGTTCGGCGTCAAGTGACTTAATGGTCTACGAGATCGCTAGCCGTATAAATCGAAGGTACTGGGTTCGAACTTCAGTGAGGTGGGTGCCTACTGCTGAAGTGTCACAGACTAGGACCGAACAGCTGTCTGAGAGTACTCTTAACTACTTTCCAGATGGTTCTCTAAATAAAGCCAAACAATGCTAAAATCCAGTAACCAATCGAATCAACCCCCTGAAAACCAACACTGGGACGTGATTGGTTGTTCAAGTTCATTCGATTGATCGGACGCTTGCTTAGATTGTTGTAATCTATGTTTGCCTATCTACCAGGTATACAATGTCCATTATTATAACTATAAACGGAAGGCCAAACATTCTAGGTACTTCAAGTAAAACACCTCAATTCTGAACGTTTTATACGAAGACACACATACACCTCCTACCTACCTAACCAATCAAATATCAGGAATATGTGAGCACAGGTTGCTTGCTCTATCTTTTCTAAATACTTCATAGTTAGGTTTTAAATTACCAAGACGGATAGCTGATTCAGTTGCTAGAATGGTTTTTGCATGTTAATTTGAACACAATTACACCTGTAACATATCACTCAAATAACCAGGCTGTATCCCAACGTCTCGTGTTCAGACTGACTGACGCAGAAGTGGAACAGGACTCAACCCCATCCGATGATAGCCAAGTTTAGCCAACAGGTCAATAATGAATTTTTTATTCTCCAATACATATTCATCGTGGATGCAGGTGTTGTGTTACTGTCATCGACTATGCGAACAATATGATCGTTGTTAATGAATATTTTTCGCATTGTTTAAAGACAGGCATCATCATCTACGAAATCAGTGATTACACACACACACACACACAACCAATGTCAGGCCAACAAAAAACAACAACATGGGAGATTCACTCACATTCATTTACTCAGTGAAGCCCACCCAAACTTCCCTAATGTGATAATTCTTTCCAGGCGATAACTTAGCTGGAAAGATATTACATAATAACACTATTCAGGGAAGTCCTTCATAATCGATAAACGAAGCACCATGATGGTGTTGAGATAGAAGAAAAAAACTGTCACAGGTAGAAAAACGAGACAAAGACTCACTTTTCCTGTTAAGACATTCACCAATGGGTCAACCCAAATCAACTTCTCAATTTAATACGTAAGTGTTTTTGGTTAATTTAAAGCTCGCCTTCTCCGTACTGGTGTTCTATTTTTCGACATCAGTATTCAATGGGTGATTGTTTTTATTGATTATGTTTATTTATTTTATTCCTCCTTTGCGTTCCCAGTGGGACATACGTCTTCAAGTTCGACCTGTGAAGCTTCAGTAGCAGTAGTGTCTTTTAGGGGTTGGTGGGGAGGGGGATTGCTAGCCTCACGCCACACTTTACCTCTTTGTTGGGATTGTAACCTGCTGTGGGAGGTAAAGGTGTGCGCCGACCGGGACTCGAACCCGGACCACATGTATGGCTAGTTACCACTTTACCACTGGACCACCACCAACTCACTTCAATATGTGATCAGACAAGTTAATAAAATTGTCTTCAACCCGAGCAGTGATCACTTCAACCAACCACACCACACTATCAATCGACCACCAGTGAGACTGATTTATCACACCAGTTCAGTCCAACTAAATTGAATACTGCAGTCAATGGACGAAAGTCTAATGTTTCCGGTGATTGTCGACCAGGATGTCAGTGTTGATTATAAATCAACTCAACTGATCACCACTCATCGAACATTCGAAAAATGCGATTGTCAATCATGTCACAAGCATTATTTATTTTATTGTATATTTCATAAAATCAGCACTGTCATTACCATAATAAGACAGAGGTAGGGCAGTCTCATCACTTTCCTGTGTGAGAACTCATCACTGCGTCAGTCCAACAACCTTTTAAATTGATTATTCAGCACTTTTGTTTAATTTTCGTACATGGATGACTAACCGACTGACTGAATGACAAGTGATTAATTGTCAGGTCTGATTTATTGTAAATGTTGCATTGGTGAATAGTACTCGTTGTTTTCAAATGATTATTGAGAGAGAGAGAGAGTGAGTGAGAGTTCATACAATTTCATCTTTTGTCCGAGCAGTGTTCATCATTCAAACAACTAGACTAAAACTAACTAACACTAATCATCAGCGCAATTGTGTGATTACTGGCCAATTAATTAGTAATCAGGTCAGTTTAGTCTTACTTGATAAAAAAGTCAGTTAATGTAGACGACAATAAGGTGGAATACAAGCAATTCGAGTGGCTTTCAGAAAACCCTGAATGATAACTAATACCCGTTACCTGTTGCACAAGAGGATGGCACTCGTCGCCCAAGTAGGTGGTGGCCCATTGAATTTTTATTTATTTTTTTATTTTCGATTACAGCTTGATTCCACACTGTATTTTTGGTACAAGTGTGGAATTTTCAGCGTGGATATCGGTAGCCCAAATTTCGTAGGCCAACCATATATATCAGGTGTGTGTCGGCGTGGGCTCGAACCCCGGACCATGTGCATGGTCGGCGAGAGTCCTAACCACTGTGCCATCGACGCACTATGGCTACTGGTTCGAGCCTCAGTGGAGTGGAGGAAAACCATCACTCGCTGAGGAGGGATGCAGGTACAGCTAGTCGATAAGTCAGTCCCAAATACGACCAAATGGTGTAAGTGCGTGTGTGGGAGGTGGGTGGGTTCCACTGCTAGTCACCATCATTCATCAAATTACTTCAAATTCTTAACCAAGTTTGAAAATACGAAATTTGTTAGTAATTATGAACATGTGAATGCCTGAAATCTACTATCCTATGCTTCCAAGCCATTAATCCAAGGTAATGGTTAAATGCATAAGATGTGACATGACTGGAGATAAAAATCAAGGGGAATCTCTAGACCTACGTGAAAGGAAACATACATATGGTTAACAACACCGGTACTTCTGATGAACAGTAATAAGTTTCTTCGGGACAATGAATACATCAATACTATTATGAATGATTTTGTATCATCCCATCGACGGTCTCCAACCACTGAATTTTATCAACGTCAAACGTAAATAGAGGCAGAAGTAGGAATTCTATCGGTTTCACGTTAGATGACGAACTAACATCAGTTAGACAACTTTTGACATCCAGAGAGCTCAATCCCCAGTGGAGTGGGTCATAAGTGCATACTGCTGAATTGTCGAAAACTAGGACGAGACAGCTGTCCTATACACGTCCGTTTCCAGTGACTCTTTCAACTGATATCAGTTTGTGATCTAACTTAAATTTGTATTTCGTTCTGATACCAGGAGATGGTCACAATGATAGCGCATATCATCCATCACATTGAGTAAAGTCTCAATCATCAGTAAATATTGAGTATACCACCTTCTTGTGGTAGTCGAATTATCTTTACCTGGTTGGAGGCTCACAGTTTAACCATCTCCTACACAGCATCATTCTGCACCCTCTTCTCTCTCTCTCTCGCTCGCTCGCTCGCTATTTTTCTGAGATTATTTTAACAAGAAGAAGAGGAAGAAGAAGGCTGGTCTTTTATACACACGGAACAGTACCACCACCAAAATACTAGGCGTGTGCTCTGTCACTGTTTATCAGAATATGCATGTTGTGTAATCCCTACTCAACATGCATCAATCTTGCATCATCAATTTCAAATATCTAATCAATTTTCAACTTCCATTTTCGAAAGTCAAAGACTTGGAGAAGCTAACTAGCTAGCTAGCTACTTTTGACCAAAGGATTTCTGTCTTGTCTTACTTCGCTGGTATAATATGATGAGTAATACTGAGGTGGTTGTTTGGCGTACAGAGTGTTAGGTAAGTAGTAGTAGGGTAAATCCAGTCACAATGAAGTCCTAAGGCAGCTCTACATCGAGCTGATTCATAATCTTCCTTGTCAAGCTGACATAGAAGAAATGAATAGTTTGGAAAGAATTACAGGGATGTGAAACCAAAAACCTGACATCAATTCATCAAGTCCATGGGTACGGGTTTCGGTCAGCCACATATATAGCTAGGCAGGTAGGCAGGTAGATGTAAAATGTCTAGTTAAGGTCCATGCCAAGCTAAGAACCAATGCCAACAGAGACTGTTGGTGATATGCTTCAAAATCGTTCCCAATATCGGCGATGCATTCACTCATCGAATACACTGAAAACCCTCATGTTTTTCTAGGTGACGCTAACCTCACTCCTCACTCACTCACTCACTCACTCACTCACCCATACATTTCTACTTACTTTAGTTCATTTGAAAGTTTTTGTTTTGCAACTGTTGGTTTGCAGCAATCTGACTGCTTGCAAGATTTTCTTAACAGCTGACAAGGATAAAAAACCACTGTCAAACCTGGAAATACTGGAGTGCCGCTTCCTACTTAATTTGACACTTCTCAACGGTATGCACCCACCAAAGTTTGACAAACACTCGCCGATGACATTACATTGCCTAGTGCCAGTTGCGCTATGTCGTGAACTGGAATAGAAGTTGGAATGCATAGGTCAGAAGGTCATGACTTCGAATCCTGGAGGTAAGTGCATGAATGACGTCGAAGAGTCCCAGACTAGGCTCACGAGGATGCTGTCCAGTAACAGTACTCCCACATACCTGGCTTACCAATCATTCTCCCACCGATATTACCTCATGATGAAATCCTTCCTGTAATCTCTTTTCCCTTTATCGAGACCCAATTAGTCTTCAGAGAATTATGAGTTACACAGTCGTAGGTGGCATATTTAGTCAAGTCAACAAGCTGATTGATACTCATAAACAACAATAAAGCAAAACAACAAGTGCATATTACTGTCACGCACGTGATCATCAGTACGATGTATGTACATACGTCACCACCATCATTAACAACAACCAAAAGAAAAAAGAATTTATTACCATTATCATAATTGTAAGAATATCTTGGTAGCTCACTTTCACTACGGTCTAAATCAATTTCCCTAATGAACAGCTGCTGCTGGTCGGGGTGGTGGTCGTGATGGTTATCAACATCATTCACACGAAGACCAGCTTTCGTCAGTGATGATGATGATGGTGCTGACGACATTGACAACGAAGACATTGGAGGAAATGGACAGTGTTGATGATGATGACTACTATTCAGGAGATCACGGCGTTGATTCATGCACTGAAAAATGTGATTCCATAAATTAACCAACATTTCCATTGAATGTGGTACGATAATCTCAGTCGGTGGTGTCGGTGTCGCTGTTGTGGATGTTGATGCTATCTTCTTCGTGGTCATCAAAGAGGAATCAAAAGATGGAGATAAAGACGACGAAGACGAAGAAGCGATAGTTGGTAAAGATGACATTGATGGACAGGCATTTGGCATCTGTACATTCCCATCATCAGTACTGATGTCTAACGAAGGCGAATTCTCATCAGAATTGAATGTGTAAATACAACAAATATAGCATAAAGTGCCCTAAAAATAAAATTATTATTTCTTTGTAACAATCAATTCATATCACATAACAAAATTACGATAAGATAATACAAGTATACAGTGCAAAATATCAACATTCAATCGCCAATATTTACGCAAGATGCAGTTTTCCAACAATAGTTCCCTGTTCAAGTCTTTGAACCATCAACGGTATACTGTATTGCCGGACGACAATGTCAACTGCACTGCACACTTGGCCGCGGTGGGAACACCATCAATGACTCACTGAGGAATCCAGGTACATCCAGCTAGTTGACGAGTGAGTCCCTAATAGGACGAAATGCGCATCCTGCTAGACTCCACTGCTAGTCACTATCCATCAATTAATTCTCTCTAATCATTCGCATAAATATATTGGCTGACAGAAGAAGGCCCGAGAGGACGCTTAGTGCTATGACGATATGTTTTGCCGTTAAACTGAAACTGCACGTTTATCGTACACCGCGTAGTAATCGTAATACTACACAAACAGTCACCTGTGTATCTCCTACTTCACCAGATATATAAATGTATAGCCTGTTGTAAATACTTATAGAGTGTAACGTGAACACCAAGTCTTCAACAGACTAAGAAGTATTGACTTGACATTGGTGTTAAAATCCGGATCTTGTCATTGTAACTAAACGCTGTGGATCTCTTCACAGTGTTTTCAAAGTGATGTGAATATACCGGTTGGCTAATTTGAATTAAACATCGACTAACTAACTAACTAACCAACCAACTAACTGACACTTCATTATCGATGGGTGCTACTTAACTTCAGAGAAAAGTATCTCTAAATCAGAGATAGACAGACAACTCTGTAAACTAAAAAATCAATTATTATTACAAGGTAAAAGACACGACACACGAACAAACGAACACAAAAAGAAGCCAACACCTACCCAATGCTCTGAAAATGCATGCTGTGTTAACGCCCAACGAGTACACAGCACTGTGGGACAAATAGGACATGTAAAGGTTAAGCTTCCTTTAGTTGCTTCTAAAAGGTGGGCGTCAAATTGTGGAGAAACACCAAATCGTAGCTACATTAAATTTTTTACGATGAAACAGAATAGAAGAGAAAGAAAGAAAAGATGAAGTGGGTGTACGAGGAATCACTTAAAAACAAAACAATCGTCTAAGTGCTACAACAAATTAACCTGCGAACAGAACAAATAGAGTACTTAGGTCACGAGCTGACACATCAGTCAGAGAACTATTAGAAAACCATAGAGTATTGAGGACAGCTGTTTCATCCCAGCCCAACCTACAACCTCATTTCTTGGTGTACCCCGCTGGTCACAATTCCCCATATATCATGAATCAACAGAAATTGGAATTCATAGACCGTTGAATTAGGTCCCATCACTGGCTGAATGAACTACAAGATCACCTTGTAAGCAGGAACTCCTGGGTACTAACCCCGATGGGCGTGTACTGATCAAGATTAAAACCCGCTGTTCACCTCAGAGTTAGTAAGTCAGGATGTACAATTAATGGAGTAGACGTTTTCTAACCTCCTAATTAACCAGAGTTGGGTGGCAATATAACCCAACTGAGAGAAACATCTTCCTGCTGTCACGATCCACTATTCGTCAGCAAAACAAAATTCACCTTCACAGCCTCTCAAACACTGCATAAGACACCTACACAATCATGGAAACTACTTCAAGTTTGACCGTGCTGCTATGCAAACAATATTCCTTACACGTCAAGACGTATGCAAGAACACTCCTTCTAACCAAGCCAACAGAGCTCGTTGAGTCATTTCGATATGTGGGAGACCGTTGATACCGCCATGTCTGAGGAAACAACATGGTCAGATAACATAATTCACAAGACACTATTTATAAATAAAACACCTAATAAAATCCTTAAAGATAAAGAAAAATAATGAAGGTATATTGCGTAAAGCCAAAGTGTAATCTTTGTGTAATGTTCCCTGCTGAGTGGTTAATAGTAGTTTTCCCAGTCGCCAAATTGTTATGTACTCGTCGCTAAATTATTGCTATGTACTGGTCGAGAATTTAATAGTCCTGACGCAAGAAGGCGGAAATCAGAAGACCACTAGGTTTGCGATGATACTTCTATTGTCCAAACACAAGGAGAAGCAATAAGTGGTATCACACCAAAGTAAGTAAGTCACACAAATTGTGAGAGCGAAATATATATGACCATCCAGACAAGGGTGTGAACAAATCAATAGACAGTCTTAACATGAATGGCTAATTATAATGGAGTGTCGATCCATATATATACATAGCAAAATATAGCAGACATGTCAACAACCACCATATATGGATATATGTCACCAAGCAACGGACTGTCAACAAACACTCATATTATATTATATATAATATAAGGGGAATATACATTGTTAAGGAGACAGGTTCATCAAAGTGAAATGGTCACAGACTAAGCGAGCAAACAGAAAGAGAGACCAACATACACACACACATAAATATATATATGTGGATACATATCACCTCCTCTTTTGAGAAGATTGATTAGTAGGATGTTTGCCTGGGGGTTTATCTTGAACCTTTGGGCTTGTTGTTGACGTCTGTCGTTTCGTCTGTCTGTTGGGTTGGCGGCTTCGGCTTCGTCCGGAATTGTCTAACATTTTATGCTTCTTGACTGCATTGCATAGCGAATTTAGTGGGACATCAGCCAGATGCAAACGATCGAACCAATCAAGTCCCAAAAGATTTAAATCACTCTTGGTGACGTAGCAAATTCCTGTGAATTTGGTATTGCGGAAGGAAACAGAACATTTGAGTTCACCAATTAGTTTGAGCCGCCCACCACAGGCGCTGAGAAGAGTCTTGGAAGTATTTGCGATTGGTGGTCTGGCAATATTATTCCAAAGTTTCTCTGATATAACAGTAATATCAGAGGCGGTATCCAGCTGCAAACGTGCATCATGACCATTCATCTGAAGGTCAATATATTTCCGCATACCTGGTGTTGTGACTTGACAGGCTGCGAGTAGACTCAATGATCTCCTTGGAGATTTAGGACCAACAGTTTGTCGAGCCTTCGCTGGATTATGATATCTGGGTTTGCGTGGCTGACAAAAACCATTTTTATGACCGATGATTTTGCACTTGCTGCAACGATGATTTTTGTACGGACAAGACTTAACAAAGTGCCACGCGCCACAATGCCAGCATGGTGATGGTGGGGTCTTCTTTGCAGTAATTTGAGAAGTTGGACGAGTATGTGTAGATTTCCGCGGAACAGTAGAAGAGGGTGGGTCAGGACTGGATGATGAGAGATTTTTGCTCTTTCGTAATGCATAAATATCGGAGCTTCTCGAAGGTGCTGATTCGACCAGGTGTGTATTTTTCTGCAAATTAATCAGCCGTTGATATTCATCAGCTATGTCATATAATGTTAACTTAGGATTTTGTTCTAGCTGATTGAGCAGTCGAGTTCGGATATCTGTGAAACGAGGAGATTGAAGACTGCATATGAGAATCAAGGCTTTGAATTGATCATCTGTTAAGGACCTGAGTCGAAATCTCTCACATTCTCGGTTGACTGTGCCAACGTGAGTAAGAAAATCATCATTTTCATTCATTGCCAGCTTGAGGCAACGATAACGTATTCTGAATAATGAGGAGTGGTCTCCGAAATGTTCACGCAGCAGCTTTATTGTATCACCAAAACACTTGTCACGTGGTTTCTGGGGTAAAATTAGGTTGCAGTACCGTTCATATTCTGCCGGACCCAATTTACGTAACAACACTTGCACCTTCCAAGCATCGTCTTGTGAGGCGAGATCAACAGTGAATAAATTCTCATAACGTTGATACCATGTGTCGAAAGTGATATTCGCATCTGGATGATAATTGAACTGTGAAATACTATTAACAATTCCGTCGAAAGATGGTAGCATGGTATGGTTCGGATTGCTTGAAGGTGAAGCTGGACCAGTCTGTTGGTTGACGAACATTTCCATTAATTTCATTTGTCATTCAAACAATAATTCCAATTTAGAAGGATCCATAGTAAATTGTTATGCTGCTGCTGCTGATTGGTTAATAGTAGTTTTCCCAGTCGCCAAATTGTTATGTACTCGTCGCTAAATTATTGCTATGTACTGGTCGAGAATTTAATAGTCCTGACGCAAGAAGGCGGAAATCAGAAGACCACTAGGTTTGCGATGATACTTCTATTGTCCAAACACAAGGAGAAGCAATAAGTGGTATCACACCAAAGTAAGTAAGTCACACAAATTGTGAGAGCGAAATATATATGACCATCCAGACAAGGGTGTGAACAAATCAATAGACAGTCTTAACATGAATGGCTAATTATAATGGAGTGTCGATCCATATATATACATAGCAAAATATAGCAGACATGTCAACAACCACCATATATGGATATATGTCACCAAGCAACGGACTGTCAACAAACACTCATATTATATTATATATAATATAAGGGGAATATACATTGTTAAGGAGACAGGTTCATCAAAGTGAAATGGTCACAGACTAAGCGAGCAAACAGAAAGAGAGACCAACATACACACACACACACATAAATATATATATGTGGATACATATCCTTTTGTGATATGAACATTGAGGTAGAGCAAAGATTGTGAAAGAAAACAGGTGAGGGAAACATTCTCTTATTGGACACTAGGTAGTAACACTAATCTCATACATTTAGCGCTTGGTGTTAATGCTCACTGACTGACTCACTGAATTCTATCAGTCGAATTCGCCATGTGGCAATTACCACATCTTGAAACTACGTTTCGTGCTTGTCGACCCTAGGTGAAGCGAGGCGCATCATCTGTAATAGTGATCGAATTCATGTACCTACCCAGATTCAAATCGATCAACATTTGCCTCCAACCATCATCTCATATCACCAATTCACATTTCAACGTCATCATGGCCACATTGCAAACTTGATTGACTTGATGCAATTCAGTCTGCATAAAATGAAAGAATCGGCGCATGATACTGGTTACCACTTCATGGTCCAATAAAAGTACCCACTACGCTGAATACCTCAGTGATAACATCTGTCAGTGTCCCACTTGAGTGTCCCGGCTCCAATGCTCGAAAGCGAAATAACTACCATCAAGATTAAAGAGACGCCATGTTGACTAGTGAATGCCAACAAGCACGAAACCTACCCACGTACCTACCTACCTACCTACCTACGTTAGGCATGGCTTCCTGAGCCGATTACCTTCAACTATCCAACAACAATGAAAAATTCTACTTATTATTTTTTGTTTTATAATCCGCCTACTATTAGCTATATCGGTGTATGGCGTGATGCTTTCGTTCTTATCACTGATAAAATCAATGAATTAACAGCTGGGTAGGTGAGTGCAAGGTGTCCATTTACAAGAGAAATATCGTCTGTATTGCCTTTCTGAATAGTTTAGTGCATACTTTTCTCTACCGTTAATTAGACCGTTCATTCCAAAGTATTTCTACAACTAATTGATTGAAAGTGATTTTGAGGGCTTTTCTTCTTTATACTTCTTCGCTTCGATTCTCTCTCTCTCTTTTTGTATGTACACTTACCCATGGATCGTGTACAATTCCACATATTATTATTATTACTATTATTATTATTATTAACAACAATACATCTGTATACGTATCTGTGTTCACTTGGTCATACGAGGTGAGAATATCTTCTCTGTCTATTTTAGAACATTAGTCTACTCAAAGTGAACACACATACACCACCTATGTATTAATAATGACGATGATCACAGTGTGTAATACCAAATATAACGTGAGCACACATTTGTATGTATGTATGAGTGTGTGTATGGATGGATGGACACACGGATGCAGCATCGCTGTTTTTCGTCCTGTGAATTAGGACACGACAGTATGGCATGATTAGGTAAGCAGACATTATACACACACTATGCACAAACATACATACATACATAGAAGTGTGACATACACTGTGTAACTTATTCCTGTTAAAATGAGATGGCCACCACCAAAACACACTGAGTGTGTGTCGTATAGCGCATCCAGTCTCATTTCTTATGCCAACCGACCGACCTACCGACTAACTAGTCACACAATTTCAAACGATAGCAGTCTCTCTCTAGATCGACATGAAAATGACGCCACATACATACACTACAAAAGAACTGTCATTTTTTGAATGAGAGAATGGAAGGCACAAGTGAAAAAGATATGTCAGTATAGACGATGATTAGCGAATTCAACGATAGCAAGGTTGGATTCCTCATGAACAGAGGAAGAAGGATCTGTACCGATGACATCCTAGACAATGAATTAGTGTACACTTCCGAATTGTGCTGGTCCAAAAGGATTCATTTTAGTAGATTTGCAAGGAGGCACATGAGTAGTGAGTACAACAAGGAGAAACTGACCACACTTAAAAAAAGAAACAATTGTTCCCTTGGCTGAAATTCAATGAGAACCTGGCTAGTGAAGTCCTCCGTGTAAGATTATCGACAGCCATAAAAAAAGAGATATACTGCTGCCACGCTTTGCTTGTCATTTCCAACTACCTAGATGTGCTCTTCCAGATGTAGCCTACCCTACCGATCCCAACTAGCTTTGACATTCTCGTTCATTCTGTCTATAGTATAGTTGAAGCGATGCTGCCCTCGGGTATGATACACAGACGACAACCATCCGTTCCCATATAGGATTCCCAGTACATATATATCACAGGATATATACCAGGAAGGAAACTCTGAAATATGAGTAGAACAACAAATCACTCAGTGTTTCAGTGATATCTTAAAATAGATATAAGCTGATGCCTCTTATATATTTCTACAAGACTGATTAGTGAAGAAAGAATATTTAGTCCGACAACCTCTTCAGGTTCCACAATACACCGTATACATCTATAATAGTTAACGAATGGTCGTCATTGACAACACATCAACGGTTTTTAAACAACACTGAGTCACTAACATCAAAATTCCGCCTAATAGTATATTCAAATAGATTGTCGATGGAGAACAGTTGAAAACATGCATAAATAATTTACTAAGTTGAATGTCCGATGTCCAAGTAGTAAATGATAGTGATTACTAATCAATATATAGTAGACAATGCTCATAACATCAATATAATCTGGATGCTCAATTCGTTGCATTTAGGAAATACATAATAGAGGCAGTAAACAGAGGTGTGAGACAAAGGAATAGTAATAACGAAGAACGATATAGTTTCATTTCAAATCATAAGTCACAAGGAGTGGATGCATCTGCACCAGTCAGCCATTGAGAACGATTTTGAGCCATATGATCAATTGTTTCTGGCCTTCATTGGTTTTAACCGTCACGAGGACCCCAACCAGGAAGTCCAAATCTTCCTACGTGACCCCAACCAGTCAGGAAGTCCACACATTCCTACGTGACTGGCTAAAACTAACTGTTGTGGATTTCATTGAGTGGTGCCATGTTTTAGTTTGACCACCACTAGCTCTTCTCCAGTCTGACCCTATGTCAGCTAACATTGCCCGTTGAGGTAGGTGATAACTAGGCATGCCCCAGTGACCGGTGGTGTCCGCACTAACACCCACTCGCTCACTCACTCATGAAATCCGCATCCCGGTGGATTCCACTGCTATTGTGTCACAACCATCCAGCAAAATTACTTCAAATTAAATAATCAACAGACATCGTCGAAACGTGTGCTACTAGGTACTAGGAGCCAACCTATTACAACTACGGAGGCTAAACATTTTGGTCATTACATCAAGGCTGAATTAAAAACAAATAATGTTTGTACTTTTATTATCCTTGACTTTATTATTATTGTACTGATATTATTATACTCATCGTTAATTATTGACATAGCAACAACACTCACCGTCATTAGTCAACTCTTTCAGATACATACATAAATACATATACACAGAAAAGAGCTATGCACAATAGACTAAAGTACGTAGAACATCTAGTCTTATTATTATTATTGGTTTTTTCATGTCTTGCGCTTTAATAAGGTGTCGGGGGGCGGGCGGGGAGTCGGTGAGGTAGGTTAGAAGAATTTGTTGTTTGTTGCTTTTTATTTAATTTGACAAAAATGAAGAATAATCAAAGAAATCAAGAAATAAAACTATGAAGGTCAAAAGTATGTAAAACAACATTCATCATTAACTCAAAAATATCTCGACGTACTATTTCAGGCTACTAGGACTGCGACTACTAATACCAGACTAGATTGTTTACACGACACTTCTTCTTTAGTGTCAAGGTGTACATAATTCATGACTCATTTGTGCACTTTGTTAATTATCAACTGGAATCGTTCTGGTGTATGGTGGCTTTCAGTGTTGTTCAAGTTGCACAAAACTCTACTTTAACTCATGTTCTTTTTTATTAAAATAAAAGAAGTACAAAGTTTAAAAATTAATTCAGCCCATTTTCCCCCAGTCCATTGAGATTTCAATTTGACTTTTTATGAGTTGATCACGGATTGATGTCAGTCAGAGAACCAGTGAAAACCAGCCACTGGGAGAACTGGACAGCTGTTTCATCATCAACAGTACACACCCACTGCCAGGAGGTTCGAACCCAGGACCTTCTGGTTACAAGGCAGTTACAAGCTAGTATACACTTTAGCCACTGGGACTCGATTGAGTGGTTCATGAATTCTAATTTGACGCTCAAATTCTATCAGTGTGTCACACCTCTCCAACACATTTTATTTTTTATATTCCTTTACGTTCCCAGTGGAACATAGGGGACTTCGAGCTAGAAGCTTGAAGTTTCAGTAGCAGTGGTGTTTATTCATTACGGGATGGGGTTGCTAGCTAGCCAGCCAGCCATATGCCCAACCTTTCCCCTTTAACAGTTATATTACTGGCTTAGCGAGTGAGGTGAAAGAGTGCGTAGGCTGGGGATCACACCCTCAACCACACTCGTGGTTGGCAACCATTCTACCGCTGTACTACCGACGACGCCAAAGATGAAACGTCGTTGTCGTCGCTCCTACACATAAACTGGTTAAAACGGTTAGAAGATGTTTTAAACCCACTATGCAAAACTCGAATTATGTAAGTTTGCTTTGAATGAAGGATACTTTTCAAATTGTTGACTGTCCAGTAGATGCGAACATACAAGATTCGAAGGTGGTGTATTCTTTTAGTGTTAATTCCTTGTTTACTAATGTACCACTGATTAAGACTGTTGATGTTATTTGTGATTACACATCTTCTAGTTGTTTTCCGTTCCTTTTTCCTTTAAAACTTATTTGAAACATTTATTACTATTATGTACTAACAACGTCCACTTCACATTTAAAGGTGAACACCTTTGATGAGTGGATGGTGTTGGCCACACAACATTTGATGCATCAGCCATTCGTATGATCTACAAAATCCGACAAAGTTTACACAAAGGGACACAATTCCATTTCTGCTGCTTTGCATAACAAAAGCTTTGACAATTACAATAACATAAGGTCAGAACTTTGTGTACACTGTGAACGATTGTAAAGATGATTGTAGAGAGACCGTGAACAAACTACGCGATTATCGCGTTACTTGAAGATTTTGCACAAGTGGTAAATACCCACCCACCATGCAATAAAAACACACCCCGAAAATACTGGATTGTGCGTAGACACACACACACACACACACATTTCAGAATAAAGCTATTATCATCTTGATTAAAACGGAGAGAAATATCTGAATATTCATCAAAAAACAAAACAAATATAGAGGTCGACGACAAGTCACGCAGGCACACACACACACACACTCACTCACAAACAAAACATAGAACAACAAGACTGGTGATGTCCATTAAGCACGAAATCTAACTTACATGTCGATAAACTTCTATACAACAGGGAATGTGATCATTAGGTTTCGGGAATAGAAATTCCTCTGATGAATACTGTCGATTATTTGAAGATGACGATGATGAACTCGGATGTTGACGCTTCAATCGACGTAGTTGTATAGGATCTGGAGGAACAATACACGATGACTTGTACTTGTCTGCATGTATCAAATGTGTTCCAGAATGCGATAAAATAGCCAGTGGAGAATCAAGTAAGGCTAATCCACATACACAATGTGGTAGAGCTACACACGAAGGTGAAGACGAAAATGACAAGAGAAGCAATTTAAAACAAGAAATAATCAATTGAAGCACACTGCAGCATTGACAAACACATTACTCTAACCTGGGGACTAAGGCTATGAAGATCTTGTTGTGGTGGGACACCTCGACTTTTATTTCACTTCGCCAAAAAGACTAACTCTTCTCTGAACGCCTTTTTTTCTATACGACTGAATGGGGATTTACAACCTTCACAATCGTCACCGTCATCATCATCATCATCCCTAACATATACTCTATCTCTTACCAATAAGAGACTCAGATGATCTGACCATTGAAAAACCGATTAAATAAGGCAGTATATTCGCATACAGAACTAATGCAAGTGTGAATGACATTGACACTACTACCAAAAGAGACAAATATGTCCTATTCCTTAACAAGTATATCGGAGTATCCTGACCGATAGCTGCAGCCTTGAAGTGGTGGTCAGGCTTGCGCATATATTCCAATGACCCACCCGACGGATCACGCTGGTTTGGCGAAGTCGTGCTGCTATCGAGTAGAGATGTAACACGAGAAAGGAGTTTATCTCAGATGACCAGCAAGTCACCAATGTTACCTTACCTTTCCACTCTGGGTAAGCAGGAGGCTAGAAAAGATCGTCCCAGAAAACTGGAAATCCCGACTTACCTTACGGCGGTCCATACACAGCGGTACGTTTTTAACACGAACACAATCTTAAAAACACAAATTCAAACAGGTCATATATGACCACCAGTCTAAAACTGCTGGCCCATGGCTCTGAGGTTACACAACATTAATGCTCTACTTTTTCAGGTATTCCAAGCAAAAATCAACTTTCAAGGTGTGGGTAGTCGGGAAGTGACAACCACCCACACACTTCCTCGTAAAGCACACAACGTTCGCCTGATTACCAGTCATAGGGGTTGACATATGGAATAACACATACTGCCAAACAAAAGTTATTATGAAAGTGAACAGTTCGTATACACCCACAGCATCCTACGAAACTCAATCTCCTGTAAGGAAATTTAAACAAGATTGAAATCTTGTCATAACTGTTTATTTACGTCAATTTGTATTTCCCGGGTGTAGTCTGGTCAATCACTTTGGAAGTAGGACGAAACAGCTTCCCGGTGATCAAAGTGATCCACACACACACACATTGGACGTCCGTTTCGCCAGTCTAGGGTTCGAGTTCTTCATTGACCACTGTAAGCGGTTAGATTCAGTTAACAAAGCCGAATCACCTCAAAAACCAAACAAATTCTGGCTAGCTACTTAAGACGACGCTGATGCTACATAGAATCGAATTCGCAGTTGACCAATTCATTAAATAGACACATAGTAGAAGTAGTGACCATTCACTCCCAGTTCCCTTTGGAATATCAAAAGAATCACATTTCCTTGATTACTAAGATGTCTGAAGGGAGTATCAAAGAAACCAATTCTAATTCCACGATTATTTCTAAAGCAAACTGTCAAGAAATTGTGCCATTCTTCATTCCAAAATGAATTATCAATAAATAGTGTGTTTTTGTATAACTTACCTTTAGCATTTTCATTCCACTGACGTGTTCGTGCAAGACACCAAGAAACCATACTAGAAGAAATTAAGAAACAGGAAAAACAACACACGGTAAGGTTGGTTAACAACACGTTAAGCACAATTAGAGTAGTGAAGGTCAAATGGCAGAAAGCTCGCTTAGCATGCCAGAGGTACTTGAATAAATTCCCAGGTATTCCACCGAAAACCTTGTCGTGTGTGTCAGTGGTTCAGTGCTAGAATACTCGTCGACCACCTATACGGTCCGGGATTCGATGATCCCTAGCCGACGTACTCCTAGGACTGGCCCAACCGGCAGTAAGCCCGATGAAAAAGCGGGAAGGTTGGGTGTGAGGCTAGCAATCCCACATCGTGAAAAACAAGCAGCACTGCTACTGAAACTCCTAAGCTCAAGCTTGAAAAGCTTGTGATTGACTGGTGATTTTATCAAGGCTAAGTTTACTTATTGCTTTCTTCATGACACCGATTCGGAACGTGAACAATGACGCAAATTTTTTTACTACACTTTTGGCTTCCAACCAACTCTCACCACAGGATCATCACTTGGTAATTGGAGAACAATACAACCATCTCAATCATTCTTCCAACTCATTTGTCGAGTAGAAATCCGACTACAGCTGCAACTTTAACACTATCTGCATTCAACGCTTCATCTTCTTTAGAACAAGCTTTCATTTGGCAGGTTCTCCTACCTACACAAAGAGTAGATTTCACTCATTCTTCGGGCTGTAATTCATGGAGCAAAATGACTTCATGGAACTTTTCTCATCAAATAAAATAAGAGTGCCTGTACTTATACAGAGAGAGAGAGAGAGGATTCTTTCCATTCCTCTGAGATAAAAGAAACTAGAGTGGAATTTCTTACACTTTGATTGATCATATTTACCGATTTTGCACAAATTGTATCTCTTCACAGATAGAACTCTCGATGCATCATGGGAATCCAGATTCTCTATTCTCTGTTCGATTTTTAACTTCAATTTGCATGGTTTTATTTGAAGGCGAACTGTTCAAATAATGCCTCAATGAGTGATAAATGGTTGTGTACTTCTCTGGCTGACTGACTGACTGACTGACTCCACAGAACAATGAATAATCTGAGTATGCAGATGGCATAGGAAGGGATGGGATGGCAAGATGATTGAAAAGATAACTTATTAGTGAGCATCTCGATGAGAGTGCTTCTGGTGCTGTTGCAATAGTAATCAGACTTGCTCAGAACTGAAGGATATCATTAAACTACCCGTCGAAAATTAATATGAAAAGGTATAACACAGGATAATTCTAACTGCAACAGGCTATCCACCCATTATCCAAACGATGCTTAAAAATCAGATCGCGATGAAATTCGCACCTCAATGTGTCGCAACGCGTTCATACTGGTGCTGTTAATAACCACAGGTTATGCAATACAACGGATCGTATGCCTTCAAAGTCACTGATGCGTTCACACTCCACGGTCGCTATTCTTTACATTCCACGATACCGTCTCTTGAACATCAATGCGAACATTGTTTCCTCCAGGACAACTGTCAATAAGCACGAAACCTAGATTTCATACAGCTTCCTGAAATTTAGTGCAGACCACTAAACTATACAACTCTATATGATTACCTAAACACACAATAAAATAGCCCAATGAATAGGCAGATAACGCCTTCATCATATTTAAAACGATCAGTGGTTGGTTATTATACGCCGAAGTGAAGGGGTAGCATGAATCATTCAATAATACATCTCAGTCTTCTACCCAGTTAGATTACCATTCAACTTTTGGGGACAGATTACCTATGGATTGTCTAGTTGCTTAGGTTAAAGTAGATGGAACACGAGTCGAAGCCAGGACCTACCGACTGACAGTCAATTTACTCAATTACCTCCACTCAGTGAGCTGTAATCAAATTACACACCGTGAAAACATAATGGATCTTTTCAAGTTTAACCACGGATTGAAATCATTTGGAGAACCGGTGAAAACCAGAGAGCACTGAACCAGCCGTTTCCTCCTACATCGGGAGTCATCGACAGCACACACCCACCGGGTTTCCAATCCAGCACCTTACAGTAACTAGCCAACCACTGAGACTCCACTCAATGGGCCATGACATTGGCTAGCAGTCAGTCGTACTAGAATTCATAGGATGGCGTTTAAATCGGGTCCGAGTGGCTGACTGATCTCCGAGTTTGACTTGTAACTACTGGAAGGTCATGCGTTCCAGCTCTGACTCTGGTCGCGAACTGTCGATGAGTCACAAACTGGGCTGACGAAACAGCTGTCCAATACCAGAACTCCCAGCTGGTTTACATTTACCCAATGCTTCTCTAACTGATATCAATCAATCCATCCATCCATCCAATCAAATGCTTCCCCCCTCTACAAACCAACTCTTCATCATGGATTCTGTTTTGTTAAATTAAAAAATAAGCAAATAAAAATAACTTACTAGTGTTCATGAACATGTGATAATAAGTGTTCATAAGTCACATTAGCATTATCTTTTTTAGAAAATGTCAATTGCTTGTGACACCAAGGACAAGCAATCAGTTTACGACTGTCGAAAAAGTGAGAATCTCTTTCATGATTGTGTAAATCTATCAGATCTGTAAAGTATCGAGCAGTGAATGGAGTTGTTTCACAGTTACTAGGAGATTCTTGTAGTTGATGTTGTTGTTGTTGCAGTAGCTGTTGAGAACAGTCGGAACTAGAACCATTGTCTGCTACTGATTCTTGATTTTGAAGTACTAGATTGATTTCGTTGTTTCTACCTTGTGTCACTGAGCAAAAAGAACAAACAAACAAAGTAGTACAACAGTACAGTAGTGATACACACACCACTAACAGTTATGGAGATTTAGCTTTTTATTAAATTAACCTTAACAATGATAAAATAAGATAAAACAACTGTGCATGCATTCCATTTCAAATAAAAGCTTTCCACGCTCATGTACGTATATAAACCAATTAATCAGAGAATTCCTGAGTACGCAGAAGACAGACTAGACAAGTGTGTTGCCTTTCATCACTTGGAAACTGTTTTTGGCATCTATGATTCTACGAAGCATTTATGAGGATTTGATTAGTCGGGGAGATGACAATGCACCTGTACCGTTGACAACATTTTCAACTGACACAATGACCGATAGACAGCTACTAGTTGGCTTTTCAATCGTTGGTTTGCAGCGATTTCATTGGCCATCAACTGATACCGATTAGACAACCATTAGAAAATCAACTGGAAGTACTGCCAGACAGCTGTTTCGTCAGCCTAGTTAGGGACTCGTCGGTAGTAAATACACACCACCAGGCCAAGGTTCAAACACAGGACCTTTCGGTGAGTACAAGGCGAGCTCGCAAACCATTTAGCCACTGAGACCCAACCCGACCCAATGGCTAGTCAATGAATACCAGCTTCACGATATAGTGCAACCACTAGTCAATGTCATCGCTGGCAAGTATTTGTCTCATGCTCACTGGCGACTGACTCGATTCAGGTAGGTAGTTATCTGAATTCTAATGGAAAGTCATCATCAGCGGAGTGCACAGAATGACAGAATGTATGAGAACAAATACTCGTAAATGACATTCGTTAGTGGTCGAACTCCGGCGAGGGGGTACATCTGAAGAGTCCCAAACTAGGTCGAAACGGTTGTCTGTACAGTACTCCCAGGTTTCCCAATGGTTCTCTAACCGATAATTAGATAGCTGTTGGCATTCCGAGGACCACAACCAAGCAGTCTACATCTCCTTACGTGTCTCAACACACTAACAGTAAAAGATTTTATTGGTTAGTATTGCGTTTGTTTCTGACTATCTCCTGGCACTGACAGTCAAATAAAAATGTAACTAGCCATGGGGTAACGTATGTCGAAGTCATCTCGGTATCTTGAAGATGCCTTCTCACAAAATCCATGAAGCCTAAACCTCTAAAACCGCCTACACTTTCGGCTACTAAAATACCTCGCTACCTGAATTCATACAACTGAATAGAGTATCATCGACAGAAACACTGAGAAATCACCTGTCCCACCCACTGAAGGAAACCTTCGAGGCTAAACTTCGTCTAACTTTCCTCCAAAAACCAATAATCCTCATGAACATGAAGGATAACCTACCACCGCTGACTGGCTCCATCAATATGTATCTATCAATTCACCCACTTATTTCGAAATAGGCACGTCGGTCGTACTAAGTGTTTCCAATCCAAACGTATAATCAAACACTTACCCTCATGATCGCCCCGCAGCTCTATCCTCGAACACCTGATCAAACAAATCTGAACAGCAAGCTAACCCGCCGGAACAAGGAACTTCACAGTGATCTAAGAGGATACATACGGTAATCTTGCCTCATGCCCAATCTTCTCCCTTACCAGCCAGTCTTAATATTAGCTTAGCGAGCGAGGTAAACGAGTTCGTCGGTGGCCGGGGATCGAATCCTGAAACACCTGCGTGGTTGGCGAGCATTCTACCACTGTGCCACCGACGCACACTACAATCATATATATATATATATCTATACATGCGACTGTACACAACTTGAGAATGATATCGGTGAAAAAAGTAACTCTTTGTTGAATGTTTCCCCACCCTCCTCTTTTCTATGACTCAATGAGGCGGATTTCCAAGTTGCTGCTTAAACTTCGGAAAGCTTAAAGCTCTCACATGTTCCACCAGTCGGAAAAGGCAAAGGAATAAAAACCAGACATGAGAGGAGGGAGGACGGCAGAAAATACTCCCTCATACACACACATATATATACCTTCGTCTGATACATTTGATTCTTCAGGCAGCAATAATGAATCAGATGTCATCTGTGCATGTGGATGATCCATACACAAGGAATAAGAAGTTGAAGTCATAGTAGTAGTAGTTGTTGTTGTTGCTGTTGGTGTGGTTGTTATTATCCCTGTAGACGAAGGATGAATACCACCACCAGTCACCGCTGTATTTCTCCTTGGTCCAATACCACAGTATGCACAGAAGCATAATTTTCGATCAAATATTACTGATGCATTATTATTCATCCCATAACTGGAAGCACACGAAGCAGACGAAGAAGATGCATTATTCTCACATGATGAGTAGGTTCTGGCAGACTGTTGCTGTTGTGCTTGTGCTTGTTGGTTGTCATCTGTATGCTCTGGGTCCAATAAATTAAGTATATCCTTATTACCATGATTATTATTATTGTCAATATTATCATTACTATAAGTATAGGAATATCCAAATGTTGACCGAAAAATTGTTTGTGCATGCTGACAAACTGATAAATGTTCTCGAAAAATATCAATATTGGGAAAAAGACGTTTACACGAACCAAAACATCGATAATAGTTTTCCTGAATACAAGCTGATCGATGTTCAGCCTAGATTGTTGAGAAGGAAGAAGAAAAGAAAACAAAAAGACGGAATGGAGGAGAGAAAGAAGAAGTTATGAATACTGTTCACTCACACATTACTAATACAATAATCAGCTTCAAGAGGCAGAAAGTCGATTCGCGTGTGAACTCAATGAATGAATAATTTACACACTTTTTGTAGATTATTCCCCCTCCCCCAAAAACAAAATATGGCATACAAACCTTTTATAGTTTGGATTTATTACACATACTGATTTCTGTTATGATCTCTATATCACCACCACCAGTTGAAATCAGCTCGTCGGGATTCTCCTCTACATACATACATACACCTGTCGCCAATCGATAAGAGTGAGTAAGACTTATGCATGGCTATAATAGTCCTGACGGAATGGACAACTCAAACGATACATATACTACTAAATACGCCTATTCCCGTTTGTGCTACTACCTTCGCTTCACTGAGCCAGGTAAATATCGAAAGATAAAGACTGGTCTGTGAATGGTAGAGGATACAATTTTCTATTAGGGAAAAAGGCACGTTATATTTATGTATATATTTAACCATATTAAAATCTGCCTAGCCCACTGGAAATAGACTCTTCTAATTGGTAGACGATTTGGCTAGGGCCGTAAAATATGAACATTCTGATTGGTCGACTATTGAACTACAGTGTCAAGGTAAAAAAGATGATAACATTTTACAGTTATCCGATCTCACACGATGAATAATCATAAGGTTGATCACAACTTTAAGCCGATTTCTATCAATTTCTTTATTAGCTTCCCTTCAAAGTTTCGCGTAGCACCCCCTCAATCCACCCGTTCACTGCCTTTCCTCCACACTGGTATCAGGGTCATGTCATTATGGTAACTGTCATCCACGGATTTTCTCAAGAAACGAATTCACGTTTATATCCATGTGTATGTGGATGGCAACCGCTCAAGAATCCTTCCCATAGAGTCAGTGTGTGTGTGTGTGTGTGTGGTCACTAGTCTCACTAGAGAATTTTGAATGAAATGTACAAAACAACAATTCATTTATAAGTCTATACTGTGACCAGAAGGTCCTGGGTTCGACCCCTGGCAGTGGGTGTTTACTACCGACGAGTCCCAAACTAGGCTGACTAAACAACTGTCCAGTACTCCCAGCTGGTTTTCCAATGGTTCCCTAACCGATGCAGGCTTATGATGAAGTCCTCCAACCAATTAAACAAAAAAACCCACAAACCAATACTTGAAAATTGTTCTGTTATATATTTCAATGATCAACTGTCCAACAATCATTGATTTTCGCCTAATAACTGAAAGACTACATTCATGTACGCTGTAGCTAACTGTGCTGCTGCTCAATATCCGAAATCGCTTTATTGCGTATCCCCTCTATAATTTTAGCGTCATCACCTCACCTGGGTGGGCGTCATTGTTTCAACCCAGTGGTACTATAAATGGTGATAACAAACAAAGCCACGGTTATACATTGGGGAGAGCAAGACAGTCGATCACTACTCTGAAATCACTGTGCATATGAAAGTAATCAGGAAAAACCTCACACTTTTATAACACTAGTGTGTCAGGTCCATGCGCCTCCACGTACTTCAGGGAATTGGCACGCGCGCGTTATCAAAACCAATCCCATCAAATAGGCCACAGACACTTTCGTCAACACATGTCTTCTCCGCTGGGTTAGATAGACAGACAAACTGGATAACTACTGGCCAGAAGGAATAAACAACGAGGAACTCTGTCATGCACAAGACCAGTCAAGCATTTATTACGTAACAAATATGCATAAACACATATACATATTTATATATACTGCATATAATGAAATGAAACGATAACCAACACACACACACACACATACACAGAGACACATTACAATATAAAAGTATTCACCACTTACACTGAAGTGTCGGAAATACTCCTCTCTTGTATCAAGAACTCTCAAACACTCTATGCACTGATATCTTGTGGAGTAATCTGCATTCTCACTCATCACACTGGCATTATAATTACCATTTCCATGGACCACCGGTGGCCCATTCATGTTTACTAATGAGGGTGGCAATAACACCGTCTGAGATTCACTTAAAATCCAGATATAGGATGAACAGTAGAAGTCGAAGAATTCATAGCACCAGGTGGCGTATTAGCACCATGAATAACTTTCATATGATTTGTTAATTCTTCAAATGAAGATGTTTCAATGGTGAAACTTGTACTCTGCTGCTGCTGCTGCTGCTGACTATTATCGATACTTATACCAACAATAGATTGTAATTGTTTCTGGTGTTGTACACAAAGTAAACATGAATAAATCCGCCTTGTATGACATTCAAAATAATGTTGGCATAGATTTTCAAACGCCTTATAGCCTTTTTTGTTACCACCACTTTCATGACAATAACAACATTGAAAGATTTCTCTCAAATTAAAGTGATAACATACAAAGCGAAGATGTGCACGTAAGCACAACTCAGCACAATCAGGCGATAAATATGCTGGAGGCTTGAGGAAAAACGAAAGAAGAGGAGAAAGTAATATGCGGAAATTTTTTTCGTTTCTTTTAAGTACACAAAGTTAAATCAATTTATGTTAATATATACATACAGATATATCGTCTGTTTCTCCACCTATCTCTCACAGAGTATTATTGCATAACGATGACATTAGCTGGTGCCTGACTGTCGCGCCAAAATCAAGAATTCGTGGAAGTTAGAATTCATGGGTTGGCCATTATTGAGACACAAACTAACTAACTAGGCTGACGAAACAACTGACTGTCCAGTACAAGTACTCCTTGATGGTTTCCAAAGGTTCTCTCTCTCTCTTTGTCTTTCTCTGACTGAAATCAATCCATGGGCGAACTTTGAAAACAAGCGAAATCCATACAAACCAACTCTTGCAAAAAGACATTACAATATATCCCATTGTATACAAATTATAAATTTTAGTTCAATTCTCATTGCGCTTTGATCAAAACAAGGCAATGTGTAACAGAGAGAAGTGGTTTGTACTCAGACATGACACATGTTTTTGGTTAGATTGGGTTGAAGTCAACAGCAGGGATAATCTCACTCACAGAAGATATGGACTGCGTCAGGTAATATCCTTTTACGACTATCTATCTTCATTCATGCAACGCCCTTATTGGCCACACACATGCGTGCATATATCATTGTTTTCCTTGGCACGCGCTTGCGCTTAAACTTATACAGATACCGATACCGTTCAATACATATTTGCAGATGTGGCACATTGACTTAAGTACTCAACTTACAGCTAATCAGCCCCCGGGGTCGAGTCCTGCGCCCCACCTACTTCAGCCTGGCCAACTAACTGGGTAATACCACAAGCCCCTACACAATAAGAATGTCTGTCTGTCTGTTTTCGACATAGAACTTTACACAAATGTGCGCCAGTTCAAGTCGCCACACTGCGTGTAGCACGCGAAGCAAGAGAAGAAAGTACAAGAAAAGCATAATAGAAACAGTGAGCAGAGGTGTGAGACAAAGGAGTAATAACGAAGAACAAAACAGTTTCATTGGAGATCATAAGTCACAAGGAGTGGATGCATCTGCGCCACTGAGAACGATTTTGAGCCATGTCACCAATTGTTTCCAACCATAGATTTTTACCGTCCCGAGGACCCCAACCAGTAAGCCAGTCTACACCTTCCTACGTGGCTTAGACCAAGTGTTGTGGATTTCATTGACTGGTGAGGCCAAGTTTTTGTTTGACCGCCGCTAGCTTTTTTCCAGCCTGACCCTATATCCGCTAACATTGCTCGTCGAGGGAGGCGATGGCTTGGTATACGTAACACATGTCATAACCATCTCAGTCTTCGTAACTTCACGACTTCGTCGATTGATTTCCCCTGTTTACCTAGAACTCGACGCCTAACTTCAATGTTGCTCACCTTATTATGCCACTTTACACGGGAAATAGAGCGCAGGCACCTATGATCAAAGACAGCTAGTCTTTTCATGTCTTCCACTCTCAGTGGCCAGGTCTCACAACCATAAAGGAGGACGGAGCGGACTGATGAGCAGTACACCCGCCCTTTGGTCGATAGTCGAACATCTCGTCTACGCCAGAGTCGGCGTAAACTGGCAAATGCGAAACGAGCCCCCTGTATTCGTGCTGAGATTTCGTCAGAGATCAACCCGTTGGCACTGGCTGATGGTACTTCCCAAATAAGTGAAGCGGTCAACGTGCTCTACCACTTCACTTCCTATTTTTAAACTAGGCGTCGATGTAGTCCAGTCCTGTAACATCATCTTGCATTTGGCGGGAGCGAATCGCATGCCAAACATTCGCAGATTGCTGTTCAAGGTGTTTAGAAGACTCTGCATTTCGTCAGCGTCTTCGCCTAGAAGGACTATATCGTCTGCATATTCCAAGTCAACGAGATTATTCCCCGGTAGCAAGTCAATCCCTGAGTCACTGAAGTCACCTAGGGTTAAGTCCATTAACACATCTATGATGAAGTTGAATAGAAAAGGGGATAATGGGCATCCTTGACGGACACCACTGGTCGTCATCAGTTCAGATGACAGCTCGCCGTATGGCTTGTAACCTAGTCTGTCTGTCTGTCTGTTTTCGACATAGAACTTTGCACAAATGTGCGGAAGTTCAAGTCGCGACATTCCCTGTAGCACGCGAAGCAAGAGAAAAAAGTACTTGTAACCTAGTACTACTGGGTAGTTGAGATTTAACTACTACAACCACTACTGTAAAAGGTATACTCTCCACATCTCATATCGTGGTGTGTTCAGGCTTAAGGTAAAACAGGCTGGAGGGAAACAGATAACTGTCGTACAGAGTGTTGTCAGCGTAATCAAGCTGTATTCGTGGTCAGCGTCTGCGTCTAAGTCAAGCGCATTGGTGTCTATATATATCCTACTTCGACCTCGGTGGTATTGCTTAATAAAGTCACCACATCATAACAAGTACATTTTAATGGATATATATAGGGAAATGATGTACACTTTATCTGTACATCGTCATTTCCACAAGTCTTCCGTGTTGTGCTAGTTCTGTCTCCCTCCACCCCTCGGTAATGTGTCTCTTTGCCTTCCTTTTGTATCTCCAATGTTTTCCAACTATATACTGGTTCACTTGCTCACTTTGACGTCAAATCCATCTCTCCACTGTTTGATATTTTTGTGCCAATCAACGTCTCTGTATACACACTTCTGATAAATCTTGTCAGTAGTACATACCACACCACAGGAGCGCTAGATCGATCAATTAATTCCCCTTAATACACACATATTTTGTTGTTGAAGTTTCGTTCATTAGCAATCAGAAAATTAATAGTTAATCCGTAATACATGCATATTTCCAACCACCAATGAAAAGTTATACACATTACAACACCATGCATGGAATGTATTCACACACCTGAAGAGCAATATTCATATCTCAAAACAACAACAACAACAACAAAACTCATTCACACTTTCAGGACAGTTATGCATACAACACAGTTACTAAGTTCATTTTGAAAATCCTCAGCTCAGTGTCTATATGGTTCATATCACATATCATATAAGAACAGAACTATGTCATCGGAAAAATCTATGGAATTTGTGCACACACAGTGCAACATTTACCGACACAATTTGTCTCAATCGTCTACCAGTCAGAAAACAACAAATCACGCGCTGTCACATGATAAACGACAGTCAGTCAGCCAGTCACAATCCAGAACGCAGTCAGTTAACGCCCACCGTTTGAGCCTTGTGACCGGGTCAATATGTGCCGTATATATTTTTGTCCACTTGATCACTCCCGCTCTCTCTCTCTCCATATATATATATATATATATATATATATATATATATATATCACACACTCGTTTGTTTTGGAAATACACGTTTCCACACCCCACACCCCTACTGTGTGAGTCTTCTGGAATTTACGTGATTCGGGTCAGGGAATAATCGACTAGGACCATTCATTCATTATCGTCAGTTGACAATCGTATTCATATTTGGCGACGCGATAAAACACAAGACCCAGCTACATCAGTCCATGAATGCATTTCTAAAACATCATTATCGAGTGAATTATGTCTCCTCTTATTTAAGTGTCTATATGACAAAATTCGACACTGTACATGAAATGGTTCCACAGAAATATGTCACTTTGCAGATTTCTGGCCTTATTGAAAATGTTTCGTAGCCACTCTCACGTGAATAAGTGATATGGTGATCAATGTCCAGTCTGGAAATAAACCTATCAGTTATCGTATAGACAGGTGGGTGGGTAGACAGATAGTCAACGGATTGTTTTTTTCTCATGCCTACGTTACTGGCTCATGCACACGTTTTGTGTTTCTTCATTACCCTACATATGTCATTAATTCCTTTTGTAAACACACTTCTGCGTCTCACCTCTTGTGTGTTCTCGTGTAAGTAGCGGCTTGGAAATCTGATAGCTGTGGTGTACGCCGTTGGCGTGGACAAGCGATATTCGTGGTCAACGTGCTTACCAATAGCTCGGCGTCCCTATCCAAACCAACGTTTCTTAAAATATAAAAGGTAAGAACTCGTGGGCCATTGAATCGGGTCTCAGTGATTGAATGGTATACAAGATTGCTTGTAACCGGAAGGTCGGGGGGGGGGGTTCGAAACCCTGTGGGTGCGTACTGCCAATTCCCAAACTGACGACTGGTTTCCACATGGAACTCTGCACAGACGTGCAGCAGCTCGAGTTGCGGATTATCACTTAGTGTATATGTTCATATGAAAACTTTCTTCCTAAATCCTAAATTCGATTTCTTCTGTATGACTAACTGCCATAGTAACTTACGCAAAATGTGATTAGCCCACTGCAACCATTCACTTGGATCACTCGATTTTCATAGTTTTGCCATTTCTTAATTGTGAGCGCCGGTGGCACGGCAATAGAATGCTCATCATCCATGAATGTGGCTTGGGGTTCAATCCGCGGCCACCGAAGACGCACTCCTTTACCTCTCTAAGCCAGTAATAACACTGGTAAAAAGGAAAGGTAAGGGGGTGGCGGCATGAGGCTAGCTAGCAACCCTGTTCGTAAAAATTAACACCATTGCTACAGAAACTTCAAGCTTCGAACCCTATTTTCAACTAGGAACGTAAAGGAGTGGAAAATAATTTCTTAATTAGTCATGATTGATTCCAGCATTTACACACATACCTTCGATTTGTACGAGGTTGGAACACAAACAAAAAGCAACAACAATAAAGTATAACTCACCGTAAATCCACACTGAGGACACATTATATGACATCCCAAGTGTAACAATAAGTGAGCCTTAATCATACACATATCTGGGTTTTCTATACTCAATAGCTGACCACATAGGCCACATTTTGTATTGAGCACAGTTCGACCACTACCCATAAGATGCATTTTAAGCTGTTGTTTATCATTTGTTTTAAATTTGCATAAGAGACAACGTAACACACAGAATGGTTGTTGTTGTTGTTGCGATAATGATGATGATGGAGTTGAAGACTGTGGTGAACGATACCAAGACAATATCACGTTTAAAGCCAAATTTAGATGAGCATTGGATGGAGCAGATGGAGGTAGACAGGTATAGCAAAGTTCTATGAAAGAGAAAAATTAGACAAGGGAGAAAAGTAAGAAACAAACAATAAGCTTATTGGAGTTATATTTTCATTGGACACTACTAGGCAACAAACTAATATTATACGTTTATTCCTTTCTTTTTCAGGGTGTAGATTGAATTCTATCAGTCAAGTGTGCAATGTGTCCATCATCATGGCTAGGTGTGTAACTCTGAATTCTTATTAGACGGTTGTGGATGCAATCGGTGAGAAACTCTGGACCTAGGTTTCGTGTTTATCGTCACTCGTCAGAGCGAGATGTATGTGTATCTACAATCTTGCAGGAGTTCATATCCCTCCTCCTTCTGTGATTCGAATCCGGGTCACCACTATCCATTCAGTGGTGGGGTAGTGAGAGACATTAAAACTAAGCTAATCAGACTCATTGATTGACCTACTACTACTACTACTACTGTAGAACTTCAGTGGATGTTTTGATTGGACACTGGGAAGTAATTACTGTTATGCGTCTAGTCCTTAGTTTGGTGTAGCCTGAATTCCTACGAGTTAACAAAATAAAGAAGGAAATTATTCGAATGACATTCATTAATTCTGGCACAACACGAAAACCAACACAGTTATCAAACGACATCACACAATCAATTACTACCTCTATGTTGCGAAAAAAGATTTTAAATTCATGCCAACGAAAAATAAGCGGCACAACATAGCACAACACCTACGAATTGTGATACACACACACAATGGTTACTACGCTCAGTCACTATTAAATAAATTTTTACGTCAACCACTCTCATACAGAGTAACAGTGTTGTACAATTCACTCACAATCTTAGCTAACTCTTTTTCTTGTCTAATTCAATCAATCCTGCATCAGTTATAACATTGTTTAACGAGAAAAGAAAGACAGCTGTGACGTGTGTGTCTTAGCCATCTCAATCAACGATCCCCAGCATCACAAGCCCATGCATCCAGTGACTTTCACTTTTTTCTCTAATAATATTCTACATACCTGGCCTTATAATTATTGACAACAGCATACAATTGACACTGATGGGGTCAAAAGGCTGCTAATCTCTTTCTTTCATTGATATCCGTCTATCTTCAACGAACAAGTCTCACAGGATGTGAAAGGGCATTGTCAAACTGCTCAACACACACACACTGAAATCACTGATAATAATAACCAAGGAACTCATTTGAGAAAGTAAAGCTACACCTTTTTAGATAACTTAAACGAATAGCTAAAACACTGCTTGCCTCAACACTGTATTCAAAATTCGCCACTGGGTGTATAATTCCAATGCAGGTGAAGCATCAAATACCAAGCCCGGACACTTCAAAGTGCATTTATAAATTTAACTACTCTTCTGGAGACAGTTACATAGGTTGAACGACTAGGAAAGCGCACCGTTGGCCTTTCAGAGCATTGACCAACAAGCAAAGGAGTCGTAAAGTCAATCGGAATTTCCGCACTGACACACTTAGTGCATATGGAGCACAAGACCGACAAAAATTCAGCTTTCACAATTCTATATAAGGTGCCACTTCAACTCCTTAGTCTTGTACTCTTCGGTTGCTAAGCCTAGTTGTGGCAGCTGCCATAAGGATTTTTCAACCCAATTTCTGTGTTCAGAGAAAGTTTGTTTAATCTCTGTGCTTCCCTCGGCGTTCACCGCCAACTTGAAATAGTTATCTCTCCCAGTGACACCGGATAACTGTAAATATTGTCTTATATTTATTTGTACTGCTAACTGTATTATCAATATCATGGTGTGCTGTAGTTGTGCATTCTAATTTCGGTTTCACAATATATCGTTATTATTATTACTGCATTATCTAATCGCTATATGACAAAAGTTATCCTCCCCTCTACACCTACTAACATGCACATTCTACCTGTACACTCACCATTATCTAGATTATATGGACACTTGAATGAATTTATCCTTGTTATTATGATTATTCCTATTGTGATCACCTCATTTGTTATACATTAATTTTTTCATATTCCTGAACCCTGATCTTGTATTTTATTAACTACATTCATCATTCAAATGCCTATGACTAATATTTCATCATTATGTAAATGTACACCCAGATGAGAATTTACGGGAAATACGTGTATTTTCTCTAGATAAACGTTTTCTCTTCGGACATACTGCCTTGGTGGTTCGACGATAAAATGCTCATCAACCACCGACCATCCACGTGACCCGGGGTTCGATCCCCGATTTTTTTACACCTTCACCTCGCCCCATCCCTAGCCGGTTTGCAAACGGGACAAAGAGGAAGGCTTGGACGTAAGGCTGATAACCCACCACCACCACCCCACCAGCCCCAACACCAATAAATAATGCTACTGAAACTTCAAACATTAGGCTTGACGCCCTATATTCGTTCCACTCAGAATGCAAAAGGATAAAATACTTTGGAAAAAATTAACTTCATCAGTATGCTTACTTCTACTCATTGCACTGTAACTATCGCCAACATTCACACTGTTATCACAGTAATTGGTTTGACCATTTTCCACATTGTCATCATTATCATCATCATTATTATTATTATTAGTTTGAATAGTAACCGGATTATTTTCATCTTGACGATTTACTGTTTTCGTTGTTGCTCTCGCTGTTGTTCTAGCAGGAGTACCAATTGTTCTGATTTCATCACTACACCATTCTGGTAGAAAAAGGTGTGAATGCCAAATTTCGCTAGTGGCAGAATTCAGAATTAAACGATATAAGACACTATCTGAACAAGGCAGGCTAGGTAAATTGCTTTCACTGTTGTTGCTACTCGGAGTGAAAATACGCTTTAAAGAAGAGAACCTCTCGACAACAATGTCGTTACATGTTCGAGTTAATCTGCCTACACGATTGGAGGAAACTTGTTTACAGGATGATGATGGCTGGAGAAAGTCGAGACTCCCGAGGGTAGATATATTGCTAAAGCTAAAATAGGACAATAAAAAAAATAATTGTCAAGAAAATCCAAATGAGGTAGACTATTTCTATGCATAGTAATTACCAATAGCATCAAGAATAATATGCAAAGGCAAATAACAGTCGGGAGGTTTTCAGTAATATCGACCGATAGCTCCCACATCTTAATGTGGTGGTTCGTGGTTCCAGATGCCAATGACCCACTACTACTGGCTGGAACTAATGTTCCTGCAATGTCCTACTATGCCAGAAAGGTAATTCGGCTAGCAATCAGACTAAAAGCACTGACGTTATAATGTAAGTTGTCCACACTATGTTCGAAGTTATACTCATGTCGAATGGATATGTAACAAGAGTAGCGTCTTTTCCTCAAATGACCAGCAAGCTAGCTAGCTATACTGCCTCCCTGCTATGGAGAACGGGCGTAAGGAAATTTCGATCCCGAAAATTCCACATCCCGGATTATCTATCTTGCGCATGTAACTCCAAAAACCACTTCACACGGGCCGTGTATGATCAGTCTCAAGTAGTTCGTTTCTCAGCTCTGGGGTAACACAACACTAGTGCTCCTTCTGTTTCAATTATCTCAAGAAGAAATCAATTTCCATGATGTGAGAAGCCAGGAAGTAATGACTAGCCACACACATACACACACTCACCTCCAATTCATTTCTTATTGAAAGTAGGCGATTGAACAGTTGCTGTCGCAAACAACAATCGTCTTTATAAACCAAATAAACAGGGCTAAGCCATCTTTTCAGTAAATGACTAGCAGTGGCGTGTTTCAAGTGTGAATTGACACCCTGATACTGGCAACAACAACCAGCACCAATCACCATCAACCAGAGAGATTTGACTGAGGTGGCCTCCTCCACTTATCTAACCAGCCAGCATCGTTTCCACTACAACCAATCGGAACGGGTGAAGATGTCAAAGCCAGCCAGAGAAGATCAGAAAAACAAGATACACCCTCATCAATCTGAAACCAATTCGAAGATCTTCTGCACTCAATCAGAAACATAAACAACAAGATTCGAATTCTACCCAACACAAATCTGAAGTCACTCAGTCAATTCTTCTATATGAATCAGAAACTTGCACTGCGCGTGAGTAGTCACGGAAAGGATTTCCAACAGCCTGTTTCACACTTTCATCAACAACTAACCACCTCGCTAACTGACTCCATGTCTGTCTGTCTGTCTGTCTGTTTTCGACATAGAACTTTACACAAATGTGCGAAAGTTCAAGTCGCCACACTGCGTGTAGCACGCGAAGCAAGAGAAGAAAGTACAAGAAAAGCATAATACAAACAGTGAGCAGAGGTGTGAGACACAGGAGTAATAACGAAGAACAAAACAGTTTCATTGGAGATCATAAGTCACAAGGAGTGGATGCATCTGCGCCACTGAGAACGATTTTGAGCCATGTCACCAATTGTTTCCAACCATAGATTTTTACCGTCCCGAGGACCCCAACCAGTAAGCCAGTCTACACCTTCCTACGTGGCTTAGACCAAGTGTTGTGGATTTCATTGACTGGTGAGGCCAAGTTTTTGTTTGACCGCCGCTAGCTTTTTTCCAGCCTGACCCTATATCCACTAACATTGCTCGTCGAGGGAGGCGATGGCTTGGTATACGTAACACATGTCATAACCATCTCAGTCTTCGTAACTTCACGACTTCGTCGATTGATTTCCCCTGTTTACCTAGAACTCGACGCCTAACTTCAATGTTGCTCACCTTATTATGCCACTTTACACGGGAAATAGAGCGGAGGCACCTATGATCAAAGACAGCTAGTCTTTTCATGTCTTCCACTCTCAGTGGCCAGGTCTCACAACCATAAAGGAGGACGGAGCGGACTGATGAGCAGTACACCCGCCCTTTGGTCGATAGTCGAACATCTCGTCTACGCCAGAGTCGGCGTAAACTGGCAAATGCGAAACGAGCCCCTGTATTCGTGCTGAGATTTCGTCAGAGATCAACCCGTTGGCACTGGCTGATGGTACTTCCCAAATAAGTGAAGCGGTCAACGTGCTCTACCACTTCACTTCCTATTTTTAAACTAGGCGTCGATGTAGTCCAGTCCTGTAACATCATCTTGCATTTGGCTGGAGCGAATCGCATGCCAGATATTCGTAGATTACAGCTCAGGGTGTTCAGAAGAGTCTGCATTTCGTCAGCGTCTTCGCCTAGAAGGACTATATCGTCTGCATATTCTAAGTCAACGAGATTATTCCCTGGTAGCAAGTCAGTCCCTGAGTCGCTGAAGTCACTTAGGGTTAAGTCCATTAACACATCTATGATGAAGTTGAATAGAAAAGGGGATAATGGGCATCCTGGACGGACACCACTGGTCGTCACCAGTTCAGATGACAGCTCGCCGTAAGCCCTCACCTGGCTGTATGAGTACGAGTAGAGTGCCTTAATCAGTGCAATATATTTTCTCGGAATTCCCTTTACAGCCAAGCATCTCCAGAGAACTTCTCGATCGACAGAGTCGAATGCTGCCTTTAGGTCAAGAAATATAATGACTGTTGGACGCCGGTAGGAATGACTATGTTCTAGAATCTGTCGGAGGGTGAAGATATGATCAATACACCCTCTCCCTGGTCTAAAGCCTGCCTGGCTCTCTCGTGTTTGTGCCTCCCGAGCACCACTTAGTCTACGCATGATTATTGAGCCTAAGACTTTAGTTACTATATTAGTCAAGCTAAGCCCTCTGTGATTATCACAGGAAGACTTGTCTCCCTTCTTGTATATGGGGATAATCAGTGACTTACACCAACCCGATGGGACTTCTTCTGATTCCCAGACGCTGCCTAGTACCTCAGTTAATGCAGACAGTAAGCTGTCTCCACCGTACTTAAATACCTCTGGAGTCATTCCATCAGGTCCCGCTGCTTTGCCTAGTTTCAGATTGGTGACAGCTTTAGTAACCTCAGTTAGGGATGGAGGACATGTGTCTATATCCCATTCAGATAGGTGTTGGATGCTCGGAAGGTTGAGCGTGGCTGTGGGCCAATTAAACTGCTCCTCATAATGCTCTTTCCAACCATCCAGTCGTCTATCCTGTGAGCTAATTATAGTGCCATTTTTTTCCGAGATTGTCTCACTGATGGTTTGTCTTCTCCCATCCGTTTCCCTGATGAGTCTAAATAGTTGCCTGGTGTTGCCTGTCCTCGAAGCTTTCTCCATCTCTTTCGCTTTTGTCATCCACCACTGTTCACGGTCCTTGCGGAGACTTTTCGTAAGTTTCCTTTTGTGCAGCTTTCGCTCCTCATTGAATTCGGAGCTCGCCAGGAACAACTAGAAACAAGAAATTATGGCTGGGAACAAACCAACGAAGAGCCACTCGCTCAACAAATATGTAGGGGAAAATGGATATGGATTGGGCATAAATAAGTTGAGGAGACAGTCAAATAACGTCGCGCACAATGCAGGCCATTCCTCAAGTGACACCCGAATGGGAAGCGGCGACGAGTGGGTTGTCATTGCTACGGTGACATGGAGGAGATCGTGTGAGTAAGAGGAGAAGACGAGAGATTGTGGGAAATCATGGTCCAAGCTGATGAGGACGGCAGAAGATAGGACAAAGTGGAGATGTATTTGTTCAAGCCATGTGTTCCACTCGGAACCCAAGGGAATAATAATAATAATATCACAGACCTTTCAGTCCTGGTCATGATTATTAGTGGAGCTGTTGTTAAATAGCCTAGAGAAATCAGGAGTGACAGTTGACAATTTTCTAAATTTATCAATGTAATTAATAATCGATGTATTCATTCATTGACTGGTACTGTAACAGTAGGGGGCAAGGCACGGAAGTAATGCTGTATTTTCAATTGATCAAACCGCTGTTTATATATATCTACAGTTTATATTGGTTAACCAATCACTGAGCTTATGATTTTGGTTTACATTAAGCAACATGAAATAGAATGTTCAAATACACACATAGTATTCTTTTGCTACTGCAGTATTGTACTGTGGGAATAGGTGAGAATAATAATATTCCGTTGGAATACACACTGTCTGTATCACACCACCACAGTATTGGCACAATTAAAAACACAAAAAGTTTCATAAAACCAGAAGGAAAAGTGAAAGTGCAGAATGAAACTTACCTAAGACTATGTTGAAGATCACTCCAAACTCTTGATTTACATAAATCATTCATCAAATGAGTTTTGACAAGTTGATTGGATGTTAGACGTGTAGGCGCTTGCTGCTCATCTACGACAACACACAACACAAACAATCGCGGAAGACATTGGAGAATGAAGACAAGAAATGCAAAAGACACACAGAGAGAGAGAGAGAGAGAGGGATTAACAATTATGAATACTACTCAACAATTGCAACCAACAAATAAAGGTAGAGTATTACTCCCTTAGTACCATGGATTGTTGTTTTCTTTCAAAATATAGGCTGCTTACAGACAGGTGTAGGTATACACAATATTTTTTGATAATTGAGTTGGTTACCGTACATAGTAGTCTGAGACAGCGATTAGTTTTTCTGCCAGCAGTGCTAGGTTCAGGATCTTGCCCGATTTGGACAGTTGACACACTAGTTTTCAATAGCCTTACAACTGACGTCAGTCCGTAATCTAACCTACAACCAGTCGTGTCTTTACTGTTTCCGCTGTCAACGTTTGACGTTAATAAAGGTCAGTGGTTGGAGACGGTCGGTGGGATGATACAAAATCATTCATATTAGTACTGATGTATTCATTGTCCTGAATACACTTATTACTTTTCATCAGAAGTACCGGTGTTGTTAACCATGTGTGTGTTTTTTTTCACCTAGGCCTAGGGATTCCCCTTGATTATTATTTCCAGTCATGTAACATCTTATGCATTTAACCATAACCTTGGATTAATGACATGAAAGCATAGGATAGTAGATTTCAGGCATTCACATGGTCATAATTACTAACAAATTTCGTATTTTCAAACTTGGTTAAGAATTTGAAGTAATTTGATGAATGATGGTGACTAGCAGTGGAACCCACCCACCTCCCACACATACGCACACACCATTTAGTCCCATTTGGGACTCTGGTCTCCTACATTTTACGCTCACCTTCCACTCGAAGGTCTGACATGCGACGTCATTCGACGATGGCCTCCTCAACGTGTGCCCAATCCATCTCCATTCGCTTTTACATATTCAGTGAGCAGTAGGTATAGAACAATAATACATTTATTTATCTTTTCACGAATCCTTTTCGACTGGCTACAATAAAGATTTTTTTAAATACTTTTTACAAGACTTTTTTCATTTTTTAAGTCCCCAGTGAAACATAGGGCCTCAAGGCAGAGGCTGGAGTTTCCGTAGTATTTATTTTATTCTATTTCGTTGGTATGTATTTTTACGGGTAGGGTTGCAAGCCAACCCCATGCACGCCTACACATTTCCCGTTTACCAGTCTTATTAACGGTTTAGAGAAGTAAAGGAGTGCGTAGTCAGTGGCCGAAGATTGAACTCTATGTCGAAACAGACAGACAGACAGAACTCCGGAACACATACGCAGTTGGCGAACATTCTACCATTGTGCCACCGACACACCAGAGTCATCCAATTTTACCATATATAGTCACTCCTTTTCGCTCCTAATTACATAACAACTTACATCATTTCAGACTACTAGTTAACATTAAGTTCCCACCAATTACTTCTTCTCATTGGTGTAAAAAGTATGTTTAAATCTTTATTGCGATTTATATATTTCTGCATTGTTCAGGTTGTAGCCAGCGGTGTGAGAAGCACCCAGGAAATAATGAGAGATGAGTTCATAGTATCCTGATGGTACATTTGTCATTCATGCCTTGTTGAAGTTCATTAAAGAAAACAACTAAGGGAGTCATTTTTAACCAAAATACACAATCTCACCGATCACTTATTAATGACTCACTCGTTTCAACACAGAACCTTGCACAGCTCTGCAGAATATCGAGTTATCACACTCCATGTATCACACAAACCAAGACAAAAGACCACAGAGAGGTTCAAAATAGAGAGACACAGATTATAAACAGAAGTGTCAGTGAGGGGATTAGGATTAGTAATACGGAAGAACAATAGAATCTTGTCATGATATTTATGATAAATCACAAGGAGTGAATGCATCTGCGCCAGCCATCACCCGAAGACGATTATGAGCCATATCACTAATTGTCTCCAATCGCTGATTCTCATCATCCCGAAGACCACAAACAGGCACTCTACACCTCCCTACGTGGCTCGCTGGCTGGCTGGCCTAAACTAACTGTTGTGGATTTCATTGACTGATGAGGCCAGCCATGTTTTGGTTTGACCACCATCTCCTAGCTCTTCTCCAACCTGATCCACCATTCTATGTCAGTTAACATTACCTATTATCGAGGAAGGCAATGGTAAGTTAGTCATGCGTAACACATGTCCTAACCATCTCTCTCAATCGATGTAACTTCACAAACTCGTTCACTGATTTTCCCTTCCTTCTTACACAGCACTCGACCGATGCCTGACCTCAATATTGCTCACTCTATTATTCCACCCAACATGGGAGACAGAAAGCAGGCACCTATGATCAGAGACAGCTAGCCAGGCTTTTCATGTATTCCAATTTCAATGGCTGCTGAGCAGTACACATGTCCTTCGATCGACAGCCAACCGGAAATCACGTCTATGCCAGAGATAGCGTACCTCAGCATATGCGAAACGAGCCTTCTGCATCCGTGTCGTGATTTCGTCAGCGATCGACCCGCTGACAACATTGTCTGTTACAACTTCCCAAATAAGTGTAGTTGTAAACACCCACACGAAGCCCTCCCTCGAAAAGCACTTATTAATCAGACTCAATGCCACCGCCTGCAGCCTATATAGATATCGGTTACATAACAAATCAGTCTATGCAAAACATTGTAAACACCTTTTTAGACAAACAGACACACACACACACGCATGCATATGCATACGTATTATAACTGTGATAGGAGACAACAAAAGTACAGAAACATACACAGCATAAAGTTACAGCACATAAAAGAAAAACAAACAACAAATGAGTAGTCAACTCACTCGATACATCAAAAGATTGGATATCAGTAGTAGTGGAGGCGGTCTGTGCTGCTAAATTTAAAAATGTGGTTGGCATAACCAACGGACAAATTGTAAGAAGTGATGGTCGTAGAATCCAATCACTTCTTTTATCCGGGTGTGCAGATACCAAGTGAGTAAATATAGCGCATTTATTATTAGCGCTGATAATTCCACCCGGTAGAACAGAATAAAACCGTGAGCATGTTTCGCTCTCATGATTATCAGCGATACTGACCGCCTCACGTGAAGTCGTCCAAGAACCACGACAGATATGACAACGATACAATATTCGAGCAACGGCACGATCCAGATGGTCTTCATACAAAGCACTACTTGTAAATGTCGATCGGCAACACAGGCAAATATATAAACCCTGTGAAAATCGAAAAACATTAATATGATTAATACTTAAAATAAGAATAATAATAATAACACTACTCCATTCAACTTACCGCACCAATATGACTACTAACAACTAGGACACCTTTTCTATTTGGGGTAATGAGGTGATACAGGACGTGAAGAATACTAAATTTAAACTCCAAAGAAACCACGTGGACTCCGCGAAACTTTGTAAACCAGGGGCGCAACACTAGTTTGGGAAGCTGGTCACAATACTGTGCATCACTAGCATTTAACGGTATATTACACATTTCTGAACAGTAGAGATTTCTAGCTTGAGAACGGTATGCTTTCTCGATTCTTGTTGTTGTTGTTGTTAGAAATCCGTTACACACTTATCGTATGTGACAGGGTTGTTGATAACCGTGGAACAGGAGTCGAACCTGGCACCCAATTGGTTGGAAGTCAATTGCTTAGGTTAGTCAACTACATCCTCCTCACTGGTATATCTTCTAAGACTACACATTTAATCACGGACGTTCCACCATCAGGTTAGTCAATTCTTTTCAAGGGAAAAACAGTGGAACACCCACAATTATTTTATTCACTCACTTTTCTTGAAGTCGAATTAAGTAGCGAATTGGGTAGTGAGTTTTCTAATCGAATATTTGCCTCATTTTCACATTGAATCGCCGATGACGGTAACTGAAAGTAACAATAATAGGAATAATTACAAATATAATATTGATATTAGCAGTACACTTACAAACGAAAACTGTTGTGTCTGAAGACACATTTTACTCAACTTAGACGGCTATTTTGTCAACAAAAAACTTCCGCGACGGCGTTATTCAGTTTAGTGGAAACGATCACAAATTCTAGTACAATTAATTCAGTAATATATCCAGTCATGTCAATTTTACAAGTGTTCAATCACCTACCTACCTACCTCAAATTTCACAAAATTCAGTTACTTCAACAATAGTGCCGAAAACACTATGAAGCCCTGCAACAAGCTAAACTCTCATCCAAATCCTCACTAAGGGATAATCTTTCCAATCATCTAGTCACCCTATCCCATCCTATCCCATCTCCATACTCAAACTGTTCATCCTCTCCTTGAGTCAGTCAGTCAGTCAGCCACAGAAGTACACAACCATTTATCACTAATTGAGGCATTATTTGAACAGTTCGCCTTCGAATAAAACCATGCAAATTGAAGCTAAATTCAAACAGAGAATAGAGATTTCATACAACCGTTTCCCTTTATTAGTTTGAAGAGAGAAAGAACGAACATGTTCTCTCTTCAAAGAGAATAGAGAATCTGGATTCTCATAATGCATCGAATTCTATCTGTGAAGAGATACAGTTTGTGTAAAATCGGGAAATATGATCAGTCAAAGTGTAGGCAATTCCACTTTAATTTCTCCTGTCTTCACGGAATGCAAAGAATCCCCTCTCTCCCTCTCTCTCTACATACATACGTACAGGCGCTCCTATTCTATTTGACAGGAAGAGTTTCACGACGTCGTTTTTCTCCATCAGTTACAGCCCGAAGAATGAGAGAAGTTTACTCTTCCTGCCTTGAATGATGATAGTATTGAAGTTGATGATGTAGCCTACTGGACAAATGTGTTCGAGCAATTATTGAGATGATTACATTGTCCTCCAGTTACAAACCGATGATCCCATACCATTTCATCGAGGAGGTAACAGACGGAGAGTACACATACCTGCACAGTATAATATCCAGTGGTCCTCCAATCGAGAACTCATTGAAGAAGAGAGATGTTGGGACAAACCAGCTTCTTTGTTAGTCATGATTTATCCATATATGAAGATATCTCTGTCCAAAATAATGATACTGTGGTGGTGGGATACAGACAATGTATTTCAACAGAATATTATTCTCACCTATTCCCACAGGACAATACTGCATTAGCAACAGAATACTATATGTGTATTTGAACGTTCCTTTTCATCTCGTTCAATGTAAACCGAAATCACACGCTCAGTGATTCGTTAACAAATATAAACTATGCATGTATAAACAGCGGTTTGATTAATGAAAAATATACCTTGACGTCCATATCTTGCCTTTTGCTGACACAATATGACAGTGGCCCGTGTCAGGTGATCCAAAACGGAAGACGCAGAGAGGCGTTCGAAGTGCATGCAGGAGTAGGACAAGCCGACTGCCCATTATCACCAGTGATATTCTTAATTGTGGTGGACTACATTATGCATCACGCTAGACGTGGGGAATGAGAAAAAAGGAATACGCTGGACCACCGATAAGAAGACTCTAGAACATCTGGATTTCACGCGTGGATGACATATGTCGAACGTCACACAGACTCGAAGACTTACAGGCAACCAGGCAGGCAAAGCCAACAAACTGCCCCAAGAGGTGAGACAGACAGCGAAGACAGGACTCCAGGTGAATATAGAGAAGGTGTAGACGAAGGTGATGAAGATAACCAACCAACCGCCACATCAACAACAAGCAGCACCAATCACCATCAACCAGAGAGACTTAACTGAGGTGGCCTCCTCCACTTATCTAACCAGCCAGCATCGTTTCCACTACAACCAATCGGAACGGGTGAAGATGTCAAAGCCAGCCAGGGAAGATCAGAAAAACAAGATACACCCTCATCAATCTGAAACCAATTCGAAGATCTTCTGCACTCAATCAGAAGCATAAACAACAAGATTCGAATTCTACCCAACACAAATCTGAAGTCACTCAGTCAATTCTTCTATGTGAATCAGAAACTTGCACTGCGCGTGAGTAGTCACGAAAAGGATTTCCAACAGCCTGTTTCACACTTTCATCAACAACTGACCACCTCGCTGACTGACTCCATACTAAAGATCAAATGGCCAGGAAGAATTAGAAACAAGAAATTATGGCTGGGAACAAACCAACGAAGAGCCACTCGCTCAACAAATATGTAGGGGAAAATGGATATGGATTGGGCATAAATAAGTTGAGGAGACAGTCAAATAACGTCGCGCACAATGCAGGCCATTCCTCAAGTGGAACCCGAATGGGAAGCGGCGACGAGTGGGTTGTCATTGCTACGGTGACATGGAGGAGATCGTGTGAGTAAGAGGAGAAGACGAGAGATTGTGGGAAATCATGGTCCAAGCTGAAGAGGACGGCAGAAGATAGGACAAAGTGGAGATGTGTTGTTCAAGCCGTATGTTCCACTCGGAACCCAAGGGAATAATAATTACAACAGATATCTGATTAATATCAGCGGAGATTTCATCACAATAATCCGCATCACTTAACGAATCACTCGAAATCAAGGTTGATAATTTTCAAACTATATACCCATTGAAGTTAAAGATACAATGTGGTAGTTAGGAACTATTCATCAGTTCATCATCGGTCACTGTCTGAACACAGAGGAAAGTAAAGAACAGACTAGTGATGACTTGGCTGAAAACATTGACTACTCATATCAACAAATCAATCAATATAAACTATGAAAAACCTACCTGTAAAGACAAACTGTCTTCAGCTGTAGCCGTTTGATAAATTTGTCTCAAGACTGAAGAAACACTTTTAAAAGTGCGATTTATGCCAGGAAATTTAAATCTCCCGATGAGTTTCGAGTGACACGACCCCATAGGACATTTTCATCCATAGGAGGAGGAGGAGGGTTCAAAATTTGTTCATTAATCCTGTTGGCGGCTGAAGAGATTGACAACTGTTTAAAATATAAATAAATATGAATTTTTGAGATGCACAAATATGGAAAGATATTCAGTGGTTTAATAATAACATAGAAAGGATTCTATACTACTTTCCTTAACCAGCTGGATATATCTGCTTATCAATAAGCGATGTTCTCACTTAGACCAGAATCCACTGCTGAGTTGTGGATGATAACACTCCTGAATGCAAACCAATCTGCAAAGGCATTGGCGATCCAATACACAGAGCCACCACTGATCCTCAGCTCGGAGGATAGATTTTACAGATGTACGGCAAGGCTGTGCGCACCGAAGCATTGTAAACCCGACAAGTGATGGTTACTAAAACAACCATCTACATACATGTACTTATCGGTTACTCATTACAGTTCAACTGTAAGGGTGAATGCAAGTACAGGTTCCTCCCAGTGTTGTAACAATCAGTCGCATTTAGACGGAGAAAAGCACATAACATACTTATTGTAAGCATTGACCACCAATTGATTAAGTACGATTTGCACAGCCTGCAGCATGTTACTGCACAGTAAGACGATGTCGTTTGCAAACTCGAATTCGAAGTATTTTCGGTTAGCAGATCCACACAACCACCATCACGCACATCCTCCAGAGCCGACTCCAGAATGTGACTGATGGCAAATTTAAACAGAAGTGGGGATATCGGGTAACCCTGTTTATCCCCACTAGTAGTTGAGACCACTGATGGAATAATAATCATTGGAAAACCAAATGTAAAATGATTCATAGGTCTGGGTGATTGGATCTCAACTAGCAAAGTGCATATTAGAACTACGGTATTTTTTCTTTAATGGGACATCAAACAATCCCTTAGAATCAGCACATGTACACGCTGGTGTGGCTCATTGTTAGGTGCATATATCCACACTGGGTTGTTGCAATGCAACCTTTTCAAGAATTAATAAGCAATAAAACTGGTAAGCGACCACTGTAGGATTTAATTTGCCTACAGATACATTCGTCCTCAAAGTCATATACTAAGGACACAGAGTTTAAACCTTACTGTAATTTTTACAACACAGGTAACCTGCCTTGAAACCTTATCTGTCTGTCTGTCTGTCTGTTTTCGACATAGAACTTTACACAAATGTGCGAAAGTTCAAGTCGCCACACTCCGTGTAGCACGCGAAGCAAGAGAAGAAAGTACAAGAAAAGCATAATACAAACAGTGAGCAGAGGTGTGAGACACAGGAGTAATAACGAAGAACAAAACAGTTTCATTGGAGATCATAAGTCACAAGGAGTGGATGCATCTGCGCCACTGAGAACGATTTTGAGCCATGTCACCAATTGTTTCCAACCATAGATTTTTACCGTCCCGAGGACCCCAACCAGTAAGCCAGTCTACACCTTCCTACGTGGCTTAGACCAAGTGTTGTGGATTTCATTGACTGGTGAGGCCAAGTTTTTGTTTGACCGCCGCTAGCTTTTTTCCAGCCTGACCCTATATCCGCTAACATTGCTCGTCGAGGGAGGCGATGGCTTGGTATACGTAACACATGTCATAACCATCTCAGTCTTCGTAACTTCACGACTTCGTCGATTGATTTCCCCTGTTTACCTAGAACTCGACGCCTAACTTCAATGTTGCTCACCTTATTATGCCACTTTACACGGGAAATAGAGCGGAGGCACCTATGATCAAAGACAGCTAGTCTTTTCATGTCTTCCACTCTCAGTGGCCAGGTCTCACAACCATAAAGGAGGACGGAGCGGACTGATGAGCAGTACACCCGCCCTTTGGTCGATAGTCGAACATCTCGTCTACGCCAGAGTCGGGTCGGCGTAAACTGGCAAATGCGAAACGAGCCCTCTGTATTCGTGCTGAGATTTCGTCAGAGATCAACCCGTTGGCACTGGCTGATGGTACTTCCCAAATAAGTGAAGCGGTCAACGTGCTCTACCACTTCACTTCCTATTTTTAAACTAGGCGTCGATGTAGTCCAGTCCTGTAACATCATCTTGCATTTGGCGGGAGCGAATCGCATGCCAAAAATTCGCAGATTGCGGCTCAAGGTGTTTAGAAGACTCTGCATTTCGTCAGCGTCTTCGCCTAGAAGGACTATATCGTCTGCATATTCTAAGTCAACGAGATTATTCCCTGGTAGCAAGTCAGTCCCTGAGTCGCTGAAGTCACTTAGGGTTAAGTCCATTAACACATCTATGATGAAGTTGAATAGAAAACGGGATAATGGGCATGAAACCTTATCGGGTACCGAAATACAAAGATACCTAGTTACATGATAGAAATATGTAAACAACAGTTGTCTTTCATCAACAGAGACACAAAAATAACGAACATTATTGACGTGTAAAACAAATCTTTAGTCTGTTATATCCACGTGTAGATAAGACGATGAAAATAACAGTTTAAATGCACAAGATATTTTTAAATTGAAACTACCATTTTGATAATCATTCTCGACACTTACTCTGTTCGGATCGACTGTAGATACAACTGGATTTTGCATATTACTTCCTAATTGTTGGGAACAAGTGTTTACCATTGGTGGCTGTGAATTCAGCAATACACCGGTTTCCGGTTGGGTGCATACTTTTGATAGTGGTGTGGGACGGGGAACTAACGTACATCTATTACGAACAGCTGAATGAACTGGGCGATGATTAAATGCATCAGAAGTCCTAGGTCCAGAAGATTGCGTTGTTGGAGGAAGAGTGACACCAGATGAAGAACCAGAGAGAGTGTCGTTACCAAATGGTAACGAATTAACACACTCACCACCTGTCGCCAAATGTAGGCGCGTGTCTGCGGAAGCTGTATTATGAATCACGTTACTTGATGAACACTGATCCTGACGTCAAATATAAAGTAAAAAATGTAGATCAATGATGGTTTTGAAAGAACTTCAATCATGATATGAAACAAACAATCCGAACCTATAAATATATATGAACTACTTTGGATACCTTAATTAGTCTTAAGAGAGCTAAGATGGATGGAAATGATATGGGGAGTGTTATTCACTCCATCCTTTTTGAAATAACGCTGACTATTCTTGGCCATTATTATGTACTAGCTGACCTACATGTGAATATATTTGTTCGCTGTTTTGCTCACTGTTTATTCTTTATCTGTAATTACAGTGGCCATACAAGTTCGTGGACGTTGGTGGCACAGCGGTCAAATGGTCGCCATCCACACATGTGGTGCAGAATTAGATTCCCCGGCCAACTGACGGGAAAACATTGGTTACTTGTAAAGAAAAGTCAGGGTTCAAAAACAATTCAAAACACTCAATATACACTGCAGACGAGGTATTCTACCTACTGTTGTTAAAGTATTGCAATTGGGAAATATAGGTACACATGACATGAAGTAATTGATCACCGTAATGCTTGAAGTGTCACATTGATAACAACTACAACTCATCAACTGAAATGATTAAATCACTACAGTTTGGATGACCACATCATAGCTTGCATGAGCTCAATTAATACCTGCCACTAGGACAATGTTAACCAAGAAAGCTTGCTCTCAAAGAGATTTTATGGTAGGCAGCTGTTGCTATCTCTCAGTCCTGTTCTAAACTATGTATGGAAAAGTAGGTGACAGACACGGTAATCAGACTCAAACCTACCTGCTCCATCCTTGAGATTATTTTATTAGGAATACACTTACTGTGATACAGGTTATAATATTTATGTATTCTACGATTTCATACCTTACACTTACCATTTTGTTGCTTTTATATGTGAGTACACACTGTAAGAGATGATTTCAAGTCACATCACAAACTGACATCAGTCAAAGAAACAACACCAGGAAGTACTGGACAGCTCTTTCGTCCTAATTTGAGACTCCAACAGTACACACTTACTACCCCATCAGGGATTGAACTCTGGGCCTTCAATTTGCGAAGCGGGTCCATTCACCACTCGACCACTGGGACAGAATCCAATGGATCATGAATTCTGTCCATTCGCGACATATAGCGCTACCATCCACCAGTCTTGTCAGCGAGCTCCGCCCTTGAATCCAACCTGGTGGACCTCATTGGTCACGACATTTCACCAAAACACCCAGTAACTCCATCCTGTAGCCAGTCAGTTGTGGGCTGTCCAGTAACCCTCTGATCCTCTAACCGGTGGTAGTCAGTAATATAACTTAGAATCAGTCAAACTCTTGCAATATAAGAGCAGATGGTTTGTTATGAATTTTCGCACAAATGAGTTAAGAGTTTAACCAATTAAAATGAATCCAAATAAGCGGATAAAAAATGTATCCGTTGTTTCCAGTACCAGTAATATTCAAATGACTTTCGGATAAACCCAAACTGGGTAAAAACTGGTATCATCTCAAGAACACTCTTGTAATGCATTAAAACTGAAGTGATAATAAAGACACTACATAATTACTGACCTAACTCTTGATTAAGAAGTCATAACACGAATTTTTAAACAAAATAGCACTAGAAGACATGGAAAAGCATTTACATCATGTGGTGTACGCTGACGAATTGCACTGGGTACGATGAGGGGAGTGGAATCATCGAGATTGGTTACAGCAGGTACAGAACTTCCTACAACAAGTCCATTAGACTCGTTCAGATGTCCACTCAGCGTCCCAGAAATCGGTTGCTGACAAAATCTCGACCAAGTGTAGAAAGTATTTCCAGGGAGGGTTATGTGTTCAGATGAAGTAAAGTAAGGTGGTGGACAGGTGACGCTTTGCGACCTTGTAAATCGAGTTCGACTATTAGATTGAGTAGGTTCAGAAATTTCCGTAACCTACAAAGATAAAGCTTATGTACAATCGTGGATATTTCATACACGGAATACACAAAAACTATGTGGAATTAATATAAAATATAACATAATATCCACTCCAAAACGATTTGAGAACAAATTGTACTTTCGAGATGAAGAATAATGGTGAAACTCATATTGAACCACACTAAGAGTCTGTTCAAGATTCTATAATCGATTCTCTATTCTTTAACTCCGCACCAACATCAGTATCACTACTATCATATAACAAGGTTCTGTTTAGGTAGCTTTATTCAATAAAGGAGTCTTCAGAGACTCAGTTATGTTGCTGAACAAGAACACTTCCGCAGATTGCTCAGTGATAAAACGTAGATATAAGCCTCCCAATGGATGTTCTACCTCATTCCCAATGACACAACCCACTTCTCCTGCTACAAAATGAATTGTAAACATAAGTTCAACCGGATATCCTTGACAGCTAAACTGAGTCGGTCAGGTAGGGAGATGCAGACTCCCGGGTTGGGGTCCTCGGGACTCTAGGAATCAATGGCTGGAGACAATAGGTGACATGGCTCAAAATCGTTGTCAATGGCCAGCGCAGATGTATTCAGTCTCTGTAATCTTTCATATTCCTTCCTACCATTACCCATTCTGTTTCACTCTCATACTTGTCAAACTCTATTGATTCTCTCCACTCATCTTCTTGTCTACCTCTGTGTGCTATTTGGAACGTGGCAACTCGAACTGCTGCACTTCGGTGCCAAGTTCTATGTTGAATCCAGACAGACAGGATACCCAGTGTCACGATTTAACTGAGATGCTTACAAATATGTGTCACAACAGCAAACAACTGACTGAATGTATTAGTTTCAAGATTCATGTCTACAAATGTCATATAAACATCACAAAATTAGTTTCCCTGCAAAATTAAACCTACCATTCTTTGTCCCTAAAGACAATTTTAGTACTACATGCTACTTATATGCAAACAACGAACTTAATCCCTACCGCCTTCCCTGAAACTACATCATTTATACGCAGTCAACTGTTTCGCGGAACTGTGCAATCAATAATAAATGTTTTTATAACACCATTGGGAAGCACAAGTAGCAGGAAGTAACTGTGATGACACGTATAGGTGGCGTGAAAGAAGTGAAAGGCAGGAAATTGTGTAGCATTGCTTCGTAATACTGAGATTATTCTGCGATATGAACATGGTGTAAACCATGTATACAAATATCAACCGATGCAGAAAAATCATAGCGGCTACCCCAACAGACATGACGTTCGACACCCAATTAAATGTGTTACAATCAAATGAAATTGTATCCTCTGCTCTAGGATTGCTTAAAGCCTTCCAGGAAGCTGAATTCGCACGCATTTACGTCATAGGATGCTAAAATTTCACAATACCACTACAATTATCTAGTCCGCACGGATTACAAAAATGGCGTTTATCAGGAGAATTTTAGCGAAACCAGTGTGAATACAAGTCTTATTTCTGATACTTAATTCAATCTGTACAAAATCAATGAAGTAGATTGGGCAACTAAACGCAGACTCAATCTAAAAACAGCATAATATATTCAAGAGTTGGCTTGTAAGGATTAAATTGATATCAATCCGAGGTCAAATTCGCAAAAACAAATCTAATCCCTACAAACCAACTCTTGAAAATTAATCTGATGCTTACTAGTGACTTCCTACAGGACGGAGTTTCCTGAAGTTCTAGAGCGAAGTCATGACCAGTAGGGCACATCCAGTCAAATGTGAGGATGAATTTCCCGCCTATGACACTGGTTGGTGGTCGCGCTAAGTCACGAATTGGTAGAAGTTAGAATTCATGCACTGGCCGTTGAATCGGGTCCCAGTAGCCAGGTGGTATACGAGCTCGCTAGCCTTGTAACCGCTAGGTCTTGGGTTCGAATCCTGGCAGTGTGTGCTCACACAGCCGATGATTCCCAAACTAGGATGAAACAGTAGCTGTCCAATACTCCCTGGTTTTCAATGGTTCTCAACCTGATATCGATCCGTGGCCAAACTCGTAAAAGCATAATTTATACCAAAAACTTACTGGAGCGGACAAGCTCTGAGAGGGGCAGCCTTCCGAAGTTGGCTCTTGTTTTATGTTTGTTAGTAAGAGATTTCCTCGTCGCTCTGGTAAGAAAAGCTTGGTTATCACTACGTCTTGCAACATCGTCCGTCAAACCACAGGGGAAGAACGCCAGCTAGCAAATTGCGCGTGCCGTGTATTTTGCACTCATTGGACTAAACAAAACGAAATCACAACTTACAATATCCAATATTACTTTTACAAGCCAGTGTAAACTAAATTGATTTCTATGTGCTTACTTCGGGTTGTAAGGTTCCTCGTCTACAGTGAATTTCCGTGCGAGCTTTGAAAATGGAGTGAATTTTATTTTGGAAATCAATGGAGGTACACAAGGGGTGTAGTTGTGTGTTATCGCGATGTTGTATTAGAGTTGTTCTATGTTGTTTTCAGGTGTCTTTTAAAATGAACTGTATTACAAATACTATGTTTTGACGAAAAACTTGGAAAATTGGTGGAAAGTTGACGTTTTCAGCAGTTTGAATGAACATGTATCTGTCATCGAATTTCGTTGTTTCTTTGCATGTGGAATGTTAAAATTCTGTGTGAATTGGTGATTACTGTAATAAAAACGAAATGAATTAGGTAGTTGATGCATATTTTGCGAAATGCTGAAGTGGTGTTTTGAATCTGTGAGTTATGAAAACTTGGTAACAGTCACAAGATTTTACAGTTATAAAGGAGTGTGAGTTGATTTACTCGTAAGATAACAGTGAGTGAACAAAGTTTTCCTGGAGGGTACTTTGGTTTGTGGCATTTTTATATTGCTAATTTTTTGGTATCAGATGTTTTACTGTTGTTGATTTGCAGGTTGATTGTAATTTACGTAATGTTTCATTTTATTTGGAGGCTTTGATGAAGTGCAATTGAAGAATTTGCGTGTTAATGTTGGAATCTTTGTGATATTCTAAAATTATTTATCAAAATGAATGTTTCTTAAAAGATTTAACGGTATTCTTGTACTACTGCTACCCTTTGCTTGTCGAAGGAATAGTGATGTAGCCGGTTTTGGAATGCGTAATGATTTTCTTTGAAAGAGTGATAATTTGTGCAGCATAAAAACACTAGGATAGTTATCTTCAATAGGATACACCTATAATGCGTTATTTTCGATGTACATAGCCGTCCTACATTTGCAATTGTGTATATGTATTAATCGCATAACAAGCATAAGCTCAACGTATAATTTTTCGCTAGCCCTGATGAAAGGTAATCTTTTACGCAGTCGGACTGAATGTAACTGGGATGTTGCACGCATATGATGACTAATTATGGTCTACGAATTTGACAGTACATAACAAAAGGCTTACTGTATTTCATTATTACAATACAAACACATGTTTGACGCTCTTTCCTTCTTAACACGGATGCATGCTTATGCTATGCGCAACCGGATTAAATGTAACTGAAACATTTCATGCGAGGCTTGATGACGCACTGAGGAGATAATGTTTTACGCCTATGACGCATTTCACACAAATGTTACTGCGATGCCTATCAATGTCGTTAACTATGCACTGTCCTCGAAATGATAAGTAAAAGAGATACAAGTAGTCGGCATAAATGCATATATTTACAAAATAAACGACAGTCAAACAGTACATATTCCCAATAAAAAGGGTTTACAACAATTCAGTGAAAAAATCACAGTTGTAGATTTTTTATGGCCACATCATAGTCAAATTAAAGTCCACTGATAGCTTCATCCACAATATGTGGATAGTTTCCCTCAGATGATAGTGACACCCGACCCGTCTTTACAGCTTTCAGCACCACCTAATCCTTCAGAAGAAACTGGTTATGATCTTTCCATGCGAAGATCGAGATTGTATTCCTTCGACCACCTGCGGCTGCGTCGA